TTGCAGAAAGAGTTGTTTGCTTCGTGCCATACCTCGGCAAGATAACGATGCTCTTTAGAAATAAGTCAGTCAAGTTCATGGCAACGGCAGCTTTGGGACTCACAATGTTGATTTTGGATTTAGAGAAAGATGACCACGATCGATGCTCGCGGTGACCGGCTAAACCCTAATGAAAGAATCGTCCACGATTGGGATTTGGCTTGAAATGAAACCTGAAGTACAAAACTTGCACTTGACATGAGTGCAAGTTTTCAGTCGAATGTGAACTTTGGTTTTTTGGAATCCCAAAAATCAGCTCGTGAATGCATAGAGTAGTTCTACAAGTCGCCAATGTGGCCATTTTTGTTCGGTATCGATTGTCGATAGGATGGCAGTAGAAAGTCAATATGGCGATGGAGACAGAGTTTTGTGTAGATGATAGTCTTCGAGATCACATTCTCATCGCGGTGGCAAAATCTGTGGAATTAGAAGAGCTGGAGTTGCACGTGACCATGTCTCCTCGAGCCATAACAGCAATGAGTGACCTTGAGCTCAAGTATTTGTAGCAAATGGCTTGAGATTTGGAGACATCTGTGCAACATGCAGGACGCAAATCTGTGAACATTGACTACGTGCTTCTCACGGTTCGTCAAAATCCAAGTGTTGCTGCAAATTTGACATTTGTGCTCCAGGAGCTTGCCAGTACTTCCTTCGAAAAGCCGAGGAGTACTTAAGACCTCGATGATATGTAGCCCGAGAACCTGAATATGAAGAAAAGCACGATGATGTGCAGTTTGGAAAACTGATGAAGGAGCTAGAGTTTGACGAGGGAGAGAAACTGCGAAAGAAATTCATGATTGGTAGTAGACCATGAAAATGCCTTCCACATCGTAGAATAGGTCAAAACGAGCCAATTATCGCTAGCGATCAAATGTGAAGACATGTAAACGTGAAGCTCTTGTGCATTCTCTTACGCAGCGTAACGATTTTGCGACACATCTTCCACCAGAGTGATGAATTTTGAACAGGTGCGTAGCGAAGCCCATAGAGTGCAGGGTAGGGCAGAGGAGGATTTCACTCCCTCGCACACGGCACGGCAGGAATGGGGTTGCATGCCAAGATAATTTATTCCCGCAATGGGAGTGTCAGCCGCACGGCCGACGAACGAGGAAGCGGCACGAGGGTGCCGCTTCCCGAACGGCCACTAGGTACGAGCGGCAGGGTCTGAGAGGTGCACGTTTCCCCATCCCCGAACGGCAGAGCCCAAGTGGTCCGAGCAAACCCTTGGAATGGTCGAGCGGCAGGTTGAGGTGATGGCCGAATTTAGCCCCCTTCCTCCGAGCGGCAAGGCCACGTGGATGGTGACCCAGCAGTGCAGGTCATTTCTCCCTCTTAGGTCAGAGCGGTCGAGCCGTGCAAGCGCAGGCCACGCGTAGGCAACCATGTAGGTCGAGAGAAGGTCGGAGTATCTAACAGCGGCGTAAGACCGTGAGCTGCGCAGCCAGAGCAGAAGGAAGATCACAATGAAAGGGCGAACCTAGTTCCAGCCCCGCCTACCGTGGTTGGCTGGCTTAATCGCGGTAGGCAAGTAAACATGGTTATGGTCAAACGTGGTAGCTACTAACGTGGTTGGAGTCAAATGTGATTGACGTTGAATATGGTTGATGGTCGACGTGATCGAGGTCAAACGTGGTTGGAACTATATGTGGTCAGAGCGTACCACAGTCGTGTTGGACATGGTTTGGTATGAACGTGGTAGATGTGCACGTGGTTGTGGTTACAGTCGCTGTCATCGTCGTGGTTGAAGCTCAACGTGATTGCAGTCGTGGTCGTGGATCTAACGTATTCGGCTGGCCAACCATAGTCGGTAGGGCAACGTTGTCAACTTTATACGAACGGTGATGGTGACGGCAAAGCCCGACAGTGACGGCAGGAATCAACAATGACGGTTGGGGACGACGGTGACGGAATATTTTGTTTGTAATATTTTGTATGCAAGAATCTTTGTCAAAATATAGGCGAATTGGGTATTGTTGGAAAGCTCTCGACACAAACAAAACATGTGGATCATTTGCAAGAGCTTAAAGATGACTCAAATTGAGAAAATTTCATCAGAAGTTAATTTTTTATCTAGATTTTTGAGGGGTACGGTCTGGAGCAATGTTTGTTGCGGGCGACAAGAAGTTGTGAACGACAGTATGTTGCAAACATCGGTTGCGAGCAACGTTTGTTGCGGGAAAAAATGAGTTATGGTCAAATGTCGCGGGATGAAATGTTTTAGTTGCGGGCGACATAGATCGCGTGCAACAGGTAGTCGCGGGCGACGCTGGTCACAGGCGACATGAGTCGTGTGTGACGGACAATACTGTCGCGGGTGAGAGTTATCACGAGCAGCAGTGATCATGGGCGACGTTTGTCGTGGATGACGGATGGTAAGTTGTGGACAATTTTTTTTTATAAGTCGCGGGCGACACTTAGTTGCGGGCGCAGTTAGTCGTGGATGACGGTGAGATATAATCTCAAGTGAGAGTCAGTCGCGAGCAACATAGACTGTAAGGTTCATGTCAGTGGGTGTGTGTCTTTCAATGAGCTTTGTTTCTTGAAAGAGGGGGAGAATTCTTAGGATCTTTGTACTCACAAGTGAAAATTTTCATTCACGTATGTAGTTGTGGGGGAGTTTTGATCATTATGTGATTAATGATGGAGACGAGCAACGATTTGTAGTTGTGAAGGAGTTTGATCATTATCTAATTAATGATCAAGATGTACACTGAGTTGTATTTTATCTGACAAGAGTGTTTGATAAAATGATTGAGTTAATCAAGATGGATGATAGACTCTGGTGATTGAGTTAGTCAATCTTGTCGGTAAACTTTGATGATTGAGCTAGTCAAAATTGATGATAGACTCTGGTAATTGAGCTAGTCCATCTTGACGATAAATTCTGATGATTGAGCTAGTCAATCTTGACGGTAAACTCTGGTGATTGACCTAGTCAAGATAGATGTTAACTTTAATCCAGTTGATGCATTGATCAAAGTTATTTCTCTAGAGAGTTTCAGACGACACTGTGTTATCATGCAAGTTGTGCATGGGAAGCGCAGGTAAAGTTTGCTAACATAGTATCTTCAGTTATCTCTTTATATATTTACTCTATCCTATGATGACTACGGCTTAGTTCTAGTTAAATCTCGTGTACAGAGGGGCATTGTATTAGGTTTCTTTCTGGAACTTCCCACGTAGTAATTATATAGATTACGAGATTTCTGTTCCCTCTATGCTAGCTGGTTTTTAAGTTAACTCTTTATATTATTACTCTATCCTATGATGACTACGGCTTAGTTCTAGTTAACTGTTGTGAAAAGAGGATGCCTTATGTTAGATTTCTGTCTAGAACTTCCCGCGGAGTAATAATGTATGTTATAGAGGTTACTATTTCTTAATGTGAATTAAGGGGGAGATTGTTGAGGTTAATTCAGATAAGGAGTAACCTCAAGTCCTAGCTATCTATAGCTAGGACGGTCATTTGGACTGGGGATAAATACCTCAGATCTCATCTTGTACAGTGATTCTTTCGTGACAAGATTTGAAGTAAAAGTGCTCGTGTTCTTGGTGGACGTAGCCCTCTCCTCGAGGATGAACCACATTATTTTTGTGTTCGTGTAATTCTTCAATTTTACTGTTACAATCTCGTCACACGTCCCAACATGAATCTCTACACCATAATCGATACGCAACACATTCGTTGCCAATGCCACATCAAAATGATATCTTCATCTATCAAGACATTACATGGTGCAAAACAATGTGAACTGCAAGAAAAAAAATACTAATCAGACTTTGGACATCATTGTTCATCATGGTAGCATATGGGATTGTGAACTAGTTGAAGATTACATATTTCAATGAAATCACTTGGAGTTGAGGGCTTGGAGGTTAGGGAGCGGGAGTCTTTGTGTAGAAAGAGAATGTACCGGAAGAATATGCTGCTTCCAATCGATAAACAAGGAATATGTTGCAGCTGCTGCTTTTCACTCCAAAGGTAACTGCCGGCCGTGTGGTAAAGTTTGCTAGATTTACTCCAACTGGCGGAGTGGAGCTTACAAAAACTAGCTTATCTTCTAGCCAGGTGCTTAGTGCCGATGCATGTGTCAACGGCCTTAGTATGGCAAATCTGCCCGCATTAGTCCTATCAAAATTTTGGCTAGGAATTCTAGGAAGAGAAAATTAACACATGAATGCGTGAAACCAAATCAGCTAGTGAGTGCATGAGTTTGAATTTGTTGGTCAAGTGCGAATCTCGAACCTCAGTGTGCTTCTAAGTTGATAAAATATTGCTACTAGTTGATCAAATTCTTGGTCATACTAACTCAACAATGGAGAGAAAGTTGAGAATGAAAAAAAATAGATAAAGTAAGAAAAATATAGGTATTGTACATTTAATATTTTATTCATTTTTTACTTCCATTTAAATTATGTAGCAAATTTGTTTTGACAATTGTGAGTATTTTCTTGGCTTCAATCTAATTAAATTTTATATTAATTTTCACTTTTTTACTTTCATATCAATTCTTTAACATCTTTACTTTTATCTTTGTGAATGCTTGAGTATGAGAGCTCAGTTACATTACATATATTTTTTTCATTCATTCAGCGATTTCAAATGCAAGTAAGTTGAAAAGTGCTTCTTCGTCATCAAATGATGTCTCCCGTGCCTTTCCTTGGCAAGTATTATGTGTATGAAGCAATATAATAATAATATTATTACAGTGTTAATGAAAAAAATGCTAATTACCAACAATTTGCCAGAATTACCTTGATTCTAGCAAACCTGGCATTCGCCAAATTTAGGTGTCCTCGCCTAACAAGTGTGTTAGGTATCTCGTGTTACTTGGGGAAGATTATCTCATATTATTTTTTCACAATGGGACATATTTCCCATTGTAAACAATTTAAGTCTATCTCAGAAATTTATGGTTCATTTCTTAAGGCCTCTTTCATTATCTTCTTGGCCCAAGGGTCGTGAATTCACAACGCAATATACAAAACTGTTTCAAAAACTTTGTGTTTGTACCGTTAGAACCTTTGACATCATTATATATTTGATGGTTGCATGGATTGTGGTAACCCTTTCTGCATTTCGAAGATTTCTGTCAACTTAATTAAATGCATCTTCAAACTGGACCTGTCATGAAGGTCCTACAAAGATCTATGATTAAATCGGGGACCAGCACTACAACATCGTCATATTTCCATAGCAGTTGGTGTTTGCAAACAAGGAAATAACAACTCATACGCATTCAGAACATTACCGACGCACCAGACCACAAGGGTTGGGGTTACCATCGAAGACTTCGTAACACATCCCACGTCCAACATATTCTGAGGATGCATAAATAACTAATACCTGCGCTAGAATGCCAGAGATGAGTTATGATCCGACAACATCATTTACACAGAAACTTGGTGCTCTGGAAAAGGATTGAATGTTGTAGAGTCTGAATATAGGAGCTACTGTCACCGAGATGCTCTACCTCGATGAAGAGAAGAGGCCCATCGCCTATAGTCCAATTTGATCAGTTTCAGGCTCGTGGAGATGGATTTCCAAGACAGTAACACGTATCATGATGAAGTTCCAGCCGGTGGAAATCGGAACCGAATCTGTACAATTGAATCGTGTAGTCGACAAATGTTCTGTACATACCTCACGGGCATCTCCTAGAGCTGCCAATTCGATGTTCATGAGGCACTCCTACACACTCAACTTCTGCATCCCCTCGGATGGTAAATGGACAAACGCTCCGAAGTCCTTGACATTGCCAGAGGGATTGCGCTCGAACCGCTCTAGTGAGAAGTAGTGCATCGGGATTCCGGGAACAGAGCCCGTGAGACTCAAATCCGCCAGGATTCGACCCACCAGGGGTGCCATTTTGAAGCCGTGGCCGGAGAATCCCGCACCGATGACGATGTTGCGGTTGCGACCAGGTAAGGTGTCGATGATGAAATCCTCGTCGGGAGTCATGCTGTAAAGACATCCTTCGGCCAGGACGGGAGCACGATGGTCCACATTGCCCTTGAAGACGGCGGCCAGCCACGGGGATACGAACTCCTTCAGGCCCTGGAGGTCGGGCGCCACCGACCGCGTGTCGGGGTCGCAAGGAGAGCCCGAGTGGTAACTGACCTTCATCAGGCCGCGGTACTCGGCGACCGGAGTGCCGTAGATGAGAGGCTCGTCGTAGCTCATTATCAAGGGAAAGCCTTGCGCTTTGGAGCAGAGGTCGGGCTGCTTCGGGTCCACTTGCCAGTAGGCGATGGTCGTGTGCAGAGGAACCACCGGAATCTGCAGCCCGGCGATGTCTTTCACCATTTTGGTCGCCCACGCGCCCGCGGTGATGACACATTTGTCACATCGGACGGAGCCCTGGCCGGTGCTGATCAGCACTCCTTCATCGCCATCATCTCCCAGAGGCCGAATGTCGAGAACCTTGGTTCGATCGCGCAATGTGGCTCCGTGTTTAGCTGCCAGGGCGAGGAACATGGAGACGGCTTTGGAAGCCGCGAGGATTCCTCCTTGCTGCGTGTACACGGCGTGGAAATCGTCAGGGAGCTCCATCATGGGGAAGCGGGCGGAGACTTGCGCCGGGGTGAGAAGTTCGTGCTCGATCTCCAGCTTCTGCAAGGTGGACACGGTGGCGGCGAGGCTTGAATTGCTTCGGCGCCCGAAGTCCAATTGCCCCGTTTTTGTGTACACGGCGTAGCCTGCGTCTCGCTCGGCCTCCTCCCATAAATTGTATGCCTCTGCCATCATAATAGTGTAGTACTCCTCCGGGTAGGTGATTCTGATTGTTCTTGACTCGCCATGAGATGAACCCCGTCGGTGGAGGAAGTCGAATTGCTCGATCAGAAGAACCGACTTCTTCCTCTTCGCTAGTTCGTATGCGGTGCAGGCGCCCATGATTCCTGCTCCCACGACCACTACATCGTAGGAATCAGATACCGCCTCGTTTTCCATCTTCAATTCGCAATCGTCAATTCTTAGTCCCCTAACTTAATATTTCGAACCTGTAGTGCAATGTGGCAATCGTCCAGCTCAATACGCTCGAACTGGGCTCAAATCCTGGGAACAACGATCAGCCCAAGTCATAAATTAAACAGATTGTGCACCAAATTCGGAACAGAGCTATCTTCTTCGAGGTACCTTAGGTAGAGCTGCCCTGGCTTATAAATGGGCGGACGCGCCTGACAATATGATACGCACACGGTGGTGAGGATGCGAGATTCTTTCCGTAGCATACAAGGGCGACACTGTGGCGGTCAGTGGCTCTTATCCCTCTGTACCGTAGTATACAAGGACTTCATGGGCGGTCACATATTTGCAGAGCAGGACTGTTCTGCCAGCTTGTCGTTCTGCTCTGGCGGCGTTTGTCCCAAGCTCATGCGGACTCAGCTCATAGGTAGCATCGATTCCCGGTTCATCTGCACTGCCAAATAATTCCATCGTAACTGCCGACACGGCCGCCTTACAGACCCTGTCCTCGACAGTGTGCTGTAGCATCCTTTCGAGGGTGGGGTTGCTGCCAAGCACCTATTTTCATTTCGGGGACGAATTCGTTCTTATGGCACCGAGGCAAAATGTTTGATTTCTATGTTTTTTCATGCGACTCGTTGTCTTCGTCTGAGCTCCCCATCTTTATACGTATGGACTGAAGTTGGACACTTTACCTCGTTGCACATAGATGTCAGCACTGAGCTCCGAGATTCAGAAGATTCCACATAATGATGCAAGTTCACTTTCATTTCGTGGCCCTGCATTTCTCCGACTGATCAGTGGCAGAGGATTCTGCGCGATTCATTGAGAACGCTACTTCTACACTCGTAGGGCCCTCGACCTTCCCATCAACAGCGACCAGATGCACTTGCATTGTTACAAGATTTATGCATAGGCAACGCTCACTCACTTCTCGCATGCGGTGAGAAATCCCAATGTTGGGATGTAGAAAGTGCGCTACCTTCTTTCGATTGCGAACAGCCTGTAACTGGAGGCTTTCCCAGATCAAGTCCTCGATTTTCCTTTCCAACGATGCTATAAGGTTTCAGTTGCGTCGAAAGAATGTCGGTACACACATTCACGTAGAGCTGCACGGTCAATGGTACTACTCCCACAAAACTGATCAGCTTTCCTTTAGGCAGCAGAATTGTCCTGTCTACTTTCCTCTATCTCCACCTTGTAATTAGACTGCTGTAGTTAGACTGCACAGGGGTAACAGACATGGGTGGACAACGCCCACCGTGGAGAACAAGGACTAAGAATTACTGCGTTAGATGGACACCAGGAATTACCAGGCCTGTACAGATTTGATACTTGGACAGCTGTTTCTTCTCCACAAGTACATGATCCATCGATTAAATTAATCGGATGAGGTTTTCGCGTAACTGTGCTTTAACTTTGTGAAATACTCATCCACATGAGAGCTTATTCTTACAAAGATGGCTGGTAGCGGCACACCATCATCGTGCCAAACCTTACGCTTTGAACACTGTCAGCTACGCTGCTTCACCAAACGTCACATGGATTTGAAGATGCCAGGTTCATCCTTCTTTGAGCAGAAGTTCCCTGCATGCGTAATTTTCAGAAGATCGTGCAGCCGTGCCTCGGTATTACCTCCCCTTGAGCTGCGTAGATGTGAAGAGAGTTGGTGTCTGCTGACAGAATGTGTCTAATGTGCCCTACTTCGATGTGCTGAAAAGCTCCAGCCACCATCGCTGGACTGTAAAATGTCTACTCCGCGTAGCAGTCATCCAAGCATTCAGAACTGACACAATGAATCCGCTTTTCTGACTGGTGACCATGTCCCTCGGTGTTTCTCTTGGTACATCGAAATAATCAGGTGCCTTGAAAAGCTGCATATTCAGAAACTCTTGAACATGGGCTCGGTTAATTGATACTATGTGCAAATTGACAGTGGACTTCCGATAACAAATTGCGCTCTATGAGCAAGCCCTGGAGCTTCATGAAGCCTGAAAGTTTGACAGATTCTCTAATGCAAATATTGAACGATGGACGGCGCTTGGCACCGGTCGGTATCATTTCGAGGTGCACATTCCTACTAGAGAATTGATTGCGTCCCGAAGTTGCACATAGTCCTCCATCTTGTTGTAAATCTGGTGCGACACACGGGCATAGGCGGTGATGCCTGGAATCTTGGTGATTCGATCTGCACTCTCCTGGTCTTCCTTTGAGACGTAGTGCATTGGAACCTCGACATGAAATTCCTCGCGCAGACGTGTTCTCAGATCCAATCCCTCATCGAACGACTGTATGTTAAGAACAGGTGGCAATCCTACCATCACCATGGAGGCCACCATCTCCGGCGGGGCGCCGCAAGCTGTCCCCCATTCATTGGCAAGCCAATCTCCCATGGCTAGCACAGAGTCGTGGTTCAATCTTCTGAGCGCGTCGAGACCTCCTGCTTCTCTCAAAACGAACTCCTCCGCAGCAGGAATGGCGAGCTGGGCAGAATAATCTCGAGTGCCAACCCACGAACACTCGGCTGCCAATCCCAGACCATGCGTGGTTGAAACCACCGGGTGATGGAGGCTGCCGAGATGTTGCGGTTTGCAGTGGAAGAAGGCGACCACTTCGGGTGCGAAGAACCATTTGTGGCAATTGCTGGTGTAGAAATCTGCGTCCAAATCCTGAACATCTACTTCCACGCTCCCGAAAGCGTGCGCTCCGTCCACAAACACTTGTTCTACGCCATAGCTTCTGCACAAGCTGACCATATCTTTCACGGGCAAAAGCATCGAAGGCATGGATGTGATATGATCTAACACTGCCAAGCGAATAATTCGACCTGGACTCTCCTCACGAGCCTTCGCAAGAGAGTCACGAAAGAAGCCTAGGGCGTGGGATGGAGAGGAGACAGGAAACGGAATCTTGGCACTGATTAATTCGGCACCCACTCTGGCGGCAATCGCTTCGAAGCACGCTCTGTAAGCTCCGTACGCATGATTCAACAACAAAATTGCATCTCCTTTGTGAAACCTCCCCTCCAAGAATCCCCACACGAGTTCTTGAGCTACCATGGAGGCTGCGGTGGTGGCATTGTCCAGGAGGACGACTTGGTCGACATTCTGCGCGTTGATCAACCTTGCGATTGCCGTTCTCGATGCCAACAAACCATCCTCCATTTGATGGTAGACGAAAGTATCCGGTTGCTTGAACCATTTGTGCTTCCACTCTTCTTGAGCCTTCTGGACAGCCGACGGACAGCTCCCAAAACTTCCGTGGTTAAGTCGAGCCACGCCCGCTTCATGGTGATCAAATTCTCTCTCCCTCACATCACTTGCGACCTTCAATCGCTGGAATGTCTGCGCAAGAACCTCTTCCGCACTCTTCTGCATCGTGTCCTAACGAAGGCTGCTAATCGTGCCCGTCACGCTCTAGTCCACCACGGAGAAACACTCATCCCTCGGCACGCATGCACGGCCCAGATCAAGAAGAGTCGCTTCGAGGATGGAAATTGATACGCACCGACTTCACAGACACAGAGCGTCAACGAGGTTCGACTTCGGTCAAAGAGAAATATGCAATCTGCCTCCATGTGGGTCCAAACGACCACATAAAGGTGGATCACAACAGACGGAAATGCTGGGCATCAGAGTGAAGCACAGAGTGCAGGTGGCTGCAAGTCTTGGACTGAATATAAAACAGCCAGAGTCAGGTGGATTTACAATATGAAGGACAGGAGGATTCTCTCGTGCCGTTCTGTGTCAGGCACAGAAACAAAAATCATCTCCCTCTGCATGACCTCCTCCCAAGAACGGGCCTCCTGCTGAACAAACCCAAACCCACCCATGTCCTCTCCTTCGTTCTTCTACTGACCAGAAAGGGATTTCAATTGTCCCGACGTCAAGCGGATATACGAGCGCATCCCGGAGCAAGATTGAGACTAGCGGAGGTTGGGCGATGCGTTTATGGCCAAATAGGCAGATGGCCATCAAATGCGCAGTCCGGTGCTCGTCCTTTCCTCCATAGTGGTGCGCATCTTCGTTTGAAAAACCACCGTCTGGCATCCCTTCCAATTCGTCGACACGAGATTGAGCCAAGTTACAGATTTCCAATACTCTGTTGAGTGTCTAAAAGAAAGTCATCTGTATTCTCAGAGCAGTGACTCCAAGTTTTGAAAATTTTGATATCGTGAATCGAATTTGATTCTGGATTACGTGTTTGCACGTTCTCCTTACAAAAGCAGGCATGATGAACGAGCTGTGGAGTCTTGTCCTACTACACACTCAAAACGCTGTCGAAATGATTAGGTGTATGCATGATACAACATTTCCCTCTCTATAGCTTGTGTAGGTAGGGGAGATAGGTACATACGAACGAAGTTGCAGGAAACTTTGTTCCGCTAAGTTTTCACAGATGAGCATGAGGTTTAACTTCAACTATAATTCGCTCCTGCCTTAATTTCGATCGAACCTGTGCGAAGCTAGGTGTGTTGCTACGAACATATACCGTGCCATAATACATCGGCCAGCAGGCGGCATGATGAATATCTATCTACATGGACACCGAGGCCAACAAATGTACTTGAGCCTTAGCATGGTTCCTGCTAAAGATTACAACTCGCATACGAGAGATGTGAGACGCCCAAAAGATGCAAAACTTTCTTGATCTAGTCGATCGGTATAGATTGAGCTAAGGATAGTTGGAGGAGTAGCTTCTCGCACATGAGCTTTTTCTCCGCTAGCGAATCATAGGAGCCATGCAATTCCGAGGCACCAGCCGTGGTAGCTAGTGATAGCTGAGTTGCTGAGTCCTCTGATGCTTCTTTCAAAAGTGAGGCAAAGGTGAAGGTTTTGTCCGTCCTTAAGCGATGTCCATGGGCTGCGCGCAATGCAGCCCCAAGAGAAGCCGAATCTGCCCCAACGCAAATCAGAATCACTGATGAGATCAGAAGAATGCTTTTGCAACGACAGGATGCGGTATCAACCCGCGATGGATGCATATTTTGACACGATGACGTACGTAATCCACGGGTACAAATCAACGAACAGAAGGTCGATCAGAAACTCATTTCCACTTTTACCTGGTCTCGATGCGATGTACACATTGCATCCAAAAACATCTGCACAGACTCTCAATAGATGATGATTGGCTGAGGCTCCTCCCGTTGCAATCACACGCTCGGGATCAGGCATACCAAAATTCTTAGCATGGCTCCTCATTGCCATGAACTGGCCTTCTACAATGGCTCTGACCTGCAAGAGGGTAACGTTTCGACACGCTAAGAAACTAGCCAACTGAATCAGATGACCAACATAATCCAGAAAACACAGTCCATGTTAATGTGCAGCCCTGACTTTTAAGAAGCATCTTGTAACAATATCCAATATCGTACGAGAAAAGGGCTGAGTTGAAGAAACTATACTGAGCCAATCGGAGAATTTGTCCAGAACTTCGATCTCGGAAGATGCAACATGAAAGCAAATAAGTTGCAGAACCCTAGCTCTAGTCGACATGCAATACACGGCTCGAGGAAAAGCATTAGCTCTTCGAGTGTCCTGTCCAGGTGAGTATTCTACAAATTTTTCAAGAGACACTGTCATGTTTCGACTTACCTCAGTGGGGTCATCAAAAGAGTCCACATGGACTACAGCTGATCCGCTGTTCTCCTTCAAGTCGAAGCGATGCCTACCAGCTGTATTGGTTGAATCACATATGCAAAACGCATCTCTCATGATTATGGCTAATGATTGAGAGTGGAGATGAGTACATGTGCTAAATTCGAGTAGAATTTAGCACATGTACGTACTTATGATTGACATATCGAGTGTACATTGCTGAAAACAACTGAGCCGAAGGAGATTAATGGGCCACTCACCAGGTAATGGAGGCAAAATTTCTGGTTCTGAATAGTAGAATCCAATTTTTCCTCCTGTGAAACAATCAGAATATATCTACATGAACTGGAGCACTTTAGATGCGAGCAGCTGGCAAAAAACTTAATAACCGTAGATATGTGGTGGGCAGTATCTATGGCCAAACCGTTCAAAGGAGAAGTTTCGTCCAGAAGTCGGTTGAAGGTGTCCCATGACTTCCCAGCACATTTGTCACGCACCTCTGCGTTAAACACACCAATCATTTAGCCAACCCAAGTATCTGCACAACACTTATCGGGATTCGGTGCGTAAGTATAACAATATGAGAACAAGAAAAGGACCTGGACAATGTTTCCTTACCTTGGCGAGTAAGAGAGCCATTTTTGTAACACAGCATACACATATACGAGTTTGGATCCACAGGATTTGGGAATATATGCCCATCGACTCCAGGCTTTGGATCTGTAGATACACCGAAAACCTGCGACATAAACCGCCACCACAGCATGTCAAGACATCTTTCTTCCTTCACTAGAAGATAATACTTTTACGATGCCGGTTCTATCTGGTCTAGCAACATGTGTTGTAAGCAGGTTTGTACACCGAGTATCGCCTTACAGTATCGCTAGTACCCAAGCTTATGCCCAGATCACCGGGCTTCTCTATCGCCAGTCCTGAAATCCCACAAAACTGATATTATACGTAAGGATTCGCATCCCACACTTCCACATACAGAAAGACTTCTAACTAGCAATATACAACTGTTGCAAAAAGAATGCTTTTAAGCAAACGGGTGTCTTGTTGAGTAAAAGAGTACCTGCAAGGCTACATGGATTATCTCCAGACCAGTTGATTCCTACACATTCTGGACTAAAACCATATCTGCGACACATAATTACAAAACCATGAATTTAGTCTGCCTAGTCACTCAAACTCGACTATTTTCTACCATCTTGACACCAATCACGTAATGTATGAACAAAACATATGCTCCCTAAGACATATTTGACAACTATGATAACTAACTTAGACCGCATGCGTCACTCAAATTGCGACGGAACTGATATCTAGTGTTTAGACAGCAATCATAATATTTACCGAAAGCAGAGCTGATAGGGCCTGAAAGAAAAATGAGAACAAACCTGTTTACAAAGTACGAGTGAATCTTGCCCGCTAATCCATGTGATGGTGCTAAGTTTCCCAACTTCTCCTTCAGGTTAGGTGCCGTAGCCTGTCATAATTCGTGACAAGACTGAGGAATGTAAAATGCTGTAGTGGTATATTGGTTTACCCGTTCTCGAGATACTTTAAAGAGCCGGTGTTCACAATTCATCATTTGAACAGATCACCTAACAGTTAATCGAAACTGACCTCAAGAGCTGCATCAGACCAAGTTCTCTCTTTGAGATCCATCAGATTCATCCCAGCTCCATCCGCGTGGTCGATGCTCGCATAATTCCCCACGAGAAGGGATGCCATGAAGGAGCTGACTAATGAGATTCTTTCTGTGGTGTTGTAGACATCCTCCTGTTTGTGCAGATTAACCACACACCAACCATGATAGTAAGCTAGACACTAAACACAAAAAAGCGGATTGTTTGCTTTTCATCTCGTCACGAAAATCTGATTATGTGATCAACCATTCTCCAGAATGGGGAACAAACAAATACTATCCAGTTTGCAAGAACGAATTCACACACTAAAACAGCTTGCACGTACAGTTCCATACAATGCAGTCAAGAGCAGACGATTCCGTGAAAGATGTAATGTCAATTCGGTTGGATTTCTTCACAACAATGAATGGCGACGATAGGGCGAAGGTTACCTGTGTCTGATAAAGTTTACGAATCTGCGGACCGGTAAACCTTTCGTGTGCTCGAGAACCGGTAAGATCACACAGAGCTTGAGGGCCCCCGAGAGCCTCTTCGATTTCCTCGCATTGTTTGGATGAGCTGCTGTCCATCCAAACGGGTGAATCGTTTGTGGAAAAAACGTCCTTCAGTTGCGACACCAATGTCTGTGATGCATCTAAGCGCCTCAAAACCTCACTGCTGCCTATTTTCCAGTAAACACTGCCATGCTGTTGGCCACTCCCTGAGACCGCCACCACTTTATGAAAAGGAAAGCCATTTTTCTTCAATTTGTCCAGGCCGGTCTGCAATGCCTCAACCCACATGAGCACAGGACCCGTGATCCTCCCAATACCACCCCTGTTTCGATGAACACCATCCTTGGTCTCATAATGTGGCAATTCCGAATCGAAGTGCACATTTTCAAACGCCACGATTTTCAATTTCGCATCGAGAGCTGTCACCTTCAACGACTGTGTGGAACTGTCAAAGCCCAGATATATGACATCATCCTCGGTCCCCATTGCAATTCCCTGTCCACCTTCTTTTCACCCGAATAATAGAAGAATTCTCCTGAAAAAACCTCTGAAGTTCCTGAACCTTCTTATATACACGAGTGCTCCTTCCTTACCACTTCTTACAAAGATCTTGCTAGTGTTCGTCTCCGGCCGTAAGAATGACCAACCTCCCGCAGCTTCTCCACTAGACCTCCCAACAATTTCTGCAATTTCGGAGGTCAGCACGGCCCACAGGCTTCAAATTCTGAGCTCGTCATCTTCCACACCGAACATCTGTCTTGGCTTTTCGCAATTCAAAGTATATCTACAAACTAGCGAAGAATCTCAGTTCAGGCACAGGTTAGTTATCTCCAATGCTCCCAGCTTTCACCCTCCATAAAAAGAAATACGATGGACAACTACTTCCTCTATTCTTATCGTCAGAAGCTTACTGGACAATCGCGACCTTCTCCAACTCAATCCGAAATCAACCGAGCCCGAACCCTCCCGATGCAATCACCAAGTATCTCTCTTAGGTGCAGGCAAGTATCAGCCTCGAGACAGCGCAGAGCTGAAATCGGTATTCTACACTACGGTTCCCTGTCGTCCTCGCAGCTCAAAAGACTTCGGAGGACGCGTGACAGGTCACACACATCCAATCAGAACTTTTCCTGTGAATATAAAATTATCCGAGATAATATAAGGACGAATATGCGTTATCCCTCAGAAGTCCCAACGTTCTTCTCTTCGATCCAAACGTCTCCTCGGAATTTGAACAAGACCGATGAAAGATTGAAAAGCACAAATTCTCGCCCCCTTGATACACCAGCACACAATGGGCCCCCACCTTCCGAACTCTTTTCCCTTCGCGAAAGAGGTACAGAGCCAGAAATTTCAACAGTCCACATCAGGTTGCATCGACTCACCCAGAGGACTACTCGACGCAAACTCGCGCCTCGCTATTTGGTCCATCTTCCAAACAATTGCTTTTTTAAGTGCCGATTGCGCTCCACAAAGAATGGCCCAGCCTCACGCTCACGCTTGAAAGCAAGACCGACATGAACTTTTAACGTGACCCATCAGTTATTGTTTGGTGTAGCTAACGAGCATCTATCCAGTACCTACCAACGGAAATCCGCCTCGGTACAGTGCAAGGGAGCCTCACGCGTTGGGAAGCGCCATGCATGCACTTCTGCTGCATGTGTACCAGAGCTCGACGTCTCCGTCATGGGTAGACCCCGATCCAGTAGCTCATTATAGTATCCGTCTCTGCGGCCAATGTGCTAGAGAGCACTCCCGAGGTTCATCTCACGGTGGTGGCTGTTCCTCACAGAGACTTCGGATTTGAGAGAATCAAATGCTAGTGGGAACGTGAGAAATGCAAGCTTGATGACAAGCAAGAGTCAAATAATGGCAATTCCGAGATGCTTTGGAGACTTATTTATGTGTTTGTTGGAGGTATACAATCTGTTCCGACGAGGATCGTACCGTCGTCCTTACCTGTTACCAAGATAAATGCCGTGTCTGGAGACTGGTAAAATCATGACGACATGCCTGGAGATATCTCTCGATGCTTTCAATTTCCGGACAATAAGCCAGCGCTTCATCTGTACGTTCCGTGCCACGAGATTATCTCGATCTCGTACCACCAGGAAAAGAGAGGTTGAGAGGCCAACAGTAGACATCGATACTCGCAAGAGCATCCATTGACTGACAGAAGAAACACTGTCGAACATACATCGAGGATGCATCTACTGCACTGCAATTACAGTAAAACCTTCCAGCATATTACACCTTCTTCTAATTAGGATTCACAACCACAGTTTCTACCGTCTATCTCCATTCTTGACATCCTCGACGACAAGAAAATACATGCTTGACTTTCTGAGTTATTGCTCATCGCAGAAACCACTTATGCCGTCCCAAAAGATAATGCAAAAGTATGAAAATCTTACAAAAACTTACACCATCATCATATATTTGATGATGGTGTAAAACCGACAGTATCCAGCGAATTTTCTTCCGTTGCTGTCAGGAGAGAACAACCCGAAAGGAAGACTTCTTGGATTTTACAGTCGGGGATAATGAAAGATAATGGAGCAGAATCTGCAGGGATCAAAAGTGAAAGGAACCCTTATGCCTTCCACAACACTTTCTCCGGTGCAACTTTCGAGCACATGGACCGAAAAGCCTCAGCACTTTTTTATCGAAGAAACATGACGTCCATTGCTCCAGGCCTTGAGGCCAGCCAGACATGCTGACTGTCAGATGACTTGCGTCCGGTCGCCAGCAGATGGAGGCCCCGGCATTGCACGTCGAGTAACGAAGATTATCGCCCGAAATTGCTCCCCGGTCTCCATCCACGACATTAAATGTGAAATCATGAAGGAAATTGTCTCCCTGATTGATATTGTGATCTAATTGAACACCAATTTCTGACTCTTGCAAAAGAACCATAATTTTGTCGAGACGAGGACAAGTGAACAGGTGAGGGACTCAAAATAAATTTCACAATACCGCATTCCCCGAAGTTTATCCAAAGAAGCTCTAACTTGATCAATGCAAGGTTATGTTTGTAACAATTGTATTACACCATAACCATATTGAATGTGCCAGATCAATGTGATTACTGATTCACCTTGGAAAATACCATTAGAATTTTAATGGTTTCTTCATGTTTTAAAGATGTAAACAATCTCTTTTCTATAGTTTCACATTTTTTATCAACTTAATTATTTTATGTTTTACGTGTGAACTGTGATATCATGAGTTTTTTTCATAGTGATGATTGTGATGATAGACAATATGATTTTATATATCTCTCGTTTTACTTTCAAAGGTAACGATAATTATTATTATTTTTTAACAAGATTCAACGTTGAAATTAGGGATCCGATCTGGTCGGGTAAAACCCGAAAACCTGAGTTCGGATCGGGTACGGCGGAGAGATGTACCCGAAAACTAGTAAAGCAACGACCGATAAAAGCTCAGGTGCAACCCAACCTGTTCCGTCTGCATCTGCTTCCACTCCGTCTCGTGAAACTCTCGTGCTCATCTCTCTTGTATGGCACTCCTCCTCCTCGTACTCGCACCTCGCTCAATGCGATGCAGGCACCCGCTTCTGCGGCTAGCCGCGGCCCCGCAGCACTACCTATTCTGCTCCTCCTGATTCCTCAAAAGATTATCGCATCGCCTCCTAGTCAAGAAAATACTAGCAGATCCGATTTTTCGATTTCCAATTTCACTATTCCTCCACTTTCAATCGCTCGTCACTAAGGGCTCCCCACTTTCGGGGGAACGCGAGGTCTGCCTACGAGGGCTTTCTGCCCGCCGGGCCCGCAGCCCGACCTCCCGGGGAGGGCCGCCACGCTCCCGGGCTTAGGGTTTGGGGGTCCGGGGAGCCCTTAGTGGCGAGGGTCGCCCTGCACCATATATTAAGCTGTTTGGTTTTTTTTTGGTTTCAGGAATTTGAGCCGGCTTCGCAAGGAGGATGTAAGGATCGGCACGTTCGGTACACTTCTCATTCATTTTCCAGTCCGAGGAGGAACTTCAATTCTTCTTGAAATACATCAAGGGAAAGAAGTGAAGAAAGTTCTATATTATGGCACTTAATTATAGTGATCGTGTTTAGTCGCATTGTAGGCCTGCATAATCATATTCGTCTAAGTGGATTAGACATTTCACTTTTCATATCATTATGATGTATCGGAAAATCGAAGAATCTAGCAAACAACGAAAAGCGTTGTTGGCATGGCATTCTTGGACCGAGTAGTGCAGGGTTTAGAGATTTATCAACGTGAAACTCATATCTCCTCCCGTGAAAATCCTGGTACTTGGATGATGTACGCTCCGTGTATCGTACATGACATTTTCGAGACGATAGACGTATGAGGTTATGAGCAGCCATCGTACGCAAAAACCATATTTCGAGTTTAGTGATAAGTTATCATTAACTTAAACTAGGATCAGAGTTTTTTCTCCTCCCCTTTGTGAGGGGAGGAGAAAAAAAATACATAGTACAAGTTCCCTGCGGGAAGGGATAGCCCCTTAATGAGCGAGCGAGAGCGGGGCGAGCTAAAGCGGGAGGCCCTCCCTGGTCGAAGCGGGAGATCGGGCTGCGTGCCAGGGACCGCCTGGCATCGAGCCCGAGCGGGCATAAAGCCCTCCCGAGCAGACCTCGCGTTCCCCCGAAAGTGGGGAGCCCTTAGTGACGAGGCTTTCAATCCCCTCACGATTATGGATACCCGACTCGGGTTCTACCCGAATCCGACCCGGTTTTTCGGGTCGGGTTGAAGGTCAAACCCGAATGGAGCTCTGATGTATTTGATAAAAGAACCTTTTAGTTTAGTTTAGTTCTATTTTTTTCAGAAAGGATGCAGGTTACACAAATTCTAACCGTTAAAACGACTGAATATAAATCGCAACTTCTAATTCTCATTCATGCATACATTAAGTTATGGAGAGAATTACTTGCAGAATGCTTGAAGGGACCCAATAAGTTCTATTTTACAAGATGGCACTTCAAATCACGTTCACTTCTCATACTAGTTCTTGTACTTGCTTTGTTTTCACTTCCATGAAAAAAGTAAATTCTTCCCGAAGTTCAGTTAGTCAGATTTCTCATGGCTGCCAATCTTCATCATGCGAGAGCCCAATTTCTCATGGCCTAGAATAATTTTACAGTTAAACTGTTTGGGCGTTATTTACTTACACTTCTCTACTCTATCTTCTAAAAATCTTGTCCGAAGTCACGTTAGGTGCTTATTTTGGTACGTGAAGTCCCTGCTTTGAGTACCTGAAGGTGCCTAGTTGAAAACTAGGGATTAATTGAAGATCGGGGAGAAGTCACTTTTCAACAAAGAACCGGAGTGCTTTTCCTAACCTTGACTCAAATCAGTTACAAGAACTCCTAGTAGAACATCCGTGACGGTGTTCGTTGGAAGGGTTCCATCGGATAAAATAGAACTTATTGGTCCCATCAAGACTTCTGCAATCTGACGGGTCCCATCAAGTAGTTCACTCTTAAGTTACGACACTAAACCTCCATTCGAAGAAAACGAATTGACACGTTATCAAAGCATTTATTCTTTCATCAAGATAAAATATCTCTCTTAATAATGTCATATAATCCACAAACTATGCAGTTCACTTTCTTTGGAATGAAAAAAATTTGAAATTGAACTGTTGTACAGGAATATCTGACAGAGAAAAAAGAGATATTCTGGATAAAAGACCACATTTTTTAATCATACTGAACAGAGTACAGAAAAAATTCTAAATGTTGAACAGGCCTGCTAATTAAACGAGACATTCATTGATTTGTGCTCTCTAGACTATAGTATTTATATGCAATATCTATCAAAAATAGATACCAAAATCATGATAATAGATGTTGATTGATTGACTTTAAATATTAAAATTCATAAAATTTCCTATTTTAGAATTACGTCAATATATTCTGACCTATTTCTAACAGAATGATTTTTGAAATGTATAGATACATTGAACTGATAGATCGAAAAAACACTTAAGTTAATTGATAGTTGAAAAGATTTTTTTTCACCAATTTAATTATCATATGATTACAAAATGTGGGATGTGGATTATTATTGCATCATCAGTTAAAGTTTCCTCAATCTTATTAACGTGAATTATTCTTGATAAAAAAAAACCCCGCTCTTTTGGTTTAACTTGTGTATACTTCATTGATATATACTTGTTCAGGATTCTCATTGATGAGCTTTATTCATTAATGATGGAATTGTGTGTGACTATCTAGAGATAAAAAAAAATAAAAATCATCCAGCAAGATAGGTCAAATTCGTCACAAGTCCGATGGAGATTGTAGCCCTAGAAAGACACATTTGCAGTCCATAAAATTAAATTTTTCCTACAATAATTGTATGGCTCTTCTCCGGAAGATAAGCCGCTACTTGAAATCAAGCAAACCAAACGTGGTTTTCTTCCTGGTTTTTGAATATGGTGTGCTGGGGAAAATAGTTCAGTGAATATTATCGGAAGATTGAGGAAGGAGGTTGTTAAAAACTGATCCTTTGTCATGTGCAGATTTAAATGAGCGTATCAGTTTTATGGCAATAGTTTGTCGGTGTGTTTAATGGTGTTCCCTTCTCTCGAAGTACAACAAGATGTATTTTAGATCCGGAATTTGCATTGTATGGATGGACATTCCTAATGCCCATGTGATAAAAACACTCGAGAATTATCACGCTGAATCTGCTGAATTGAGAACGGGGGAGTTATAGCAGCAAGGACTGAGCACTACACAATCAATGTGATGGATGAGAGGATCAAACAGAGCAAAATGAAAATAATTCGTTTCTGTCGTCATCATCCAGGAGGTTTGATATTATGTCAGGACTGAGAAGCTACTGCTCTAGAGCATCAGTCAAACTCTATTTCAATGACGAGTGTAAGCAGACGCTGGCATGTGCTGTAGTTGGTTCAGAGCTTTTCCTGCTATTTGATGCAGACTGAATGGGAATTATGTTGTTAGATTTCAAACCCCAGTACCTCCAATGTACGTGCTTAACGTTAAGAGGATCGGAGATTGTAGCAGAATCTGCAGTAAGGAAAGCTCTTATTCTCTTACGTAGGGTTCTACATGTCGTCTTTAGTTCAAAATCTGTTCAGTAGATGCTCGGCAACGTAGCTGAAATAAACTGGCAGCATTCCAACTCTGTAGTTGTTTGTCATACCCAGACATGCAAGAAGAATTTGCGAGCAGATAAGACTTCATCAGGAAGCATTCGCAATTCTTTGTGTCTTTAAAATCCGACGGATTAAACTGGAGAGTTGCACAATAATCCCCAATAATAAGTCGGTGATTTGGGCGGCTAACGAAGTTGCTCGAAAAGCTGACATGTCGTAGACTGTTTCTCTCGAGTCCTAGCTTCCTTCCTGCTCGTACATCTCTCGCCTTCCTCCTACTCCCACTCAGTCCACTCGATCAGAGCTCATTAGAGCTTTTCTTGACTTTACTGAACATCAAGTACGAGATCAATCCAACTTCCGACACCATTTCTCATGCATATTCCACGATCCAACAACTGCCAACACGGATCTCGTTCCAGTGGGCTTTGTAATCTGGCTTCGATCCAACCACCAGCACAGTCGTGGTCATAAAAAAGGCTACGTCAACTCAGTGCTAGAGCTAATCACGACCGGGACGGACGCTGCAGACACTCGCACAGGGGCTGACGATCGATGTGTCAATAAGCCTGCGATGGGAACCGATCGCCGCTGTCAGCAAACTCTGAGCGGAAGTTGTAGCTCGACACCACTTAAGCTGGGCTTATAGTATTGGCCATCGCTTTGTGAGGACAGCGGGGTTTACCACTGCGCCTCTTCATTAGAGAGTCCGTGATCGCACTTGGCGATTCGTCTCGTGTATTCTCTGATACTCTCGTCAGAAGGCCTCATCAGCCGAACAGGTCATTTCCGTGCGAGCCTCTATCATAAAAAATGGTAGGGGACTGGAAGCGGACCACGAATAAAAAGGATGGTCGAGAGTGGGTTGACAATTCACGAAATACGAGTCACGTGAACGAGGCCTCCATGAGACAATTCCATGTCCAGCAGAGACGATCGCTACCCTTTTTGGACATGCGCATTGACCTGGGTAGAGAGAAAAACAGAAACAAATCCCAAGCTAAGGATCGGGCTCGAACTCGGGCCGGCAGCAAAGCTGACGCTGAGCGAACGATCGAATCCTCGACTGGATCTCGAGCGTGCGAAAAATGACTTCGAGACGCACCCGAGGAACATTCTCAGAATCATTCGCGCATAAATGGTGTCGGACGAGGGCGAAGGACTTTTTTTCCACGCCGGAGACGAGGACATGTCTATGCCATGAGTGCAAAGAAGGCACGGACTTCGTTCCCAGACAGCAGGAAAAGGCTTGGAGGGTGATCTCCCTCCGAGCATCCGAGGACCATCACCGCTTTAGAGCGAGCGGCCCGCATGATGTTGCAAGATGCGGGCGGAATGATGACCATCGATCTGGTCAAAATAGGCTATTTGGAGGCTGAGAGCTCCCTCCCGGTGGCAGCAGGACGAGCCCACGGTCTCCATGGACGTGGACCGCGACCTGATGATTGACACCGATGCGCGATGCGCTCGGAGAATAAACCGAGAGTACCCGCGAGATCCCCCCGCTCTGGCAGCAGCACTGATGGCTGGCCAGCGCTGCGCGTGTAACGCAGCATGACGTGGCAATGTCCGCCTGTCCAGAGGTCGTGTCGGGCCCACAGGACCCACTCGTGGCTGCCCGCCAGGCAAGACGGCGACAAAGGCCCTGCAGCGCAGCGCATTGACTCGGTTCCAGAATGCGGTCAAAGTTCGACCTCGTCTCGATTTGCAGACAAGATCCCCTCCCCCCGCCTTCGAAGGCGACTCCGATGCGCGACCAAGAGAATTCTGCCAGTTTAGATGGCCGACGTTCGGCGAAGCCCTCGACCTCTGCCGCGTCCGTGAAGCGCGCGCGAGAGGAGATTATTAAGTGCTCATGGCCTCTGCCTCTCGTCGGCTTCGCAAGCCGATGCAACTCGACACGCGGTCGACGGAAGAAGATGATGCGATGCCACGACCTGTCCCACGCCTAACGGAGCCCTATTCGACAGACGGTGGGCGGTGCCATTGAAAGCCGGTGGTCGGAATTAATAATCCCGCCTCCGGACGGTTCCTGCCGCGGGGTCGGAACCCGACTGGTACAGATAGCATTGGAAATGATGGTGTGCGGAAACGAAAAGAAAATTGGTCTCGGTTGGCGCAGGACGTCGTATGCTCGGATCACCACCAGGGCACATGTTTTTCTCGCCCAAACGGAATGGGGCTCACCGCATCGGGTTCCGATGAGGAGATCGACAGAAGGGACAAATGCGTAGTCCCGGAGGGCGGCGAAGTCAGAAAGTAGTGGCCCGGAGAGCCCACCACCAGCGCCCTTAAAGGACACCAACCTCCGCTACTGCCAACAGCTTCGGTCGCAAAACCATGCAGAAACTCTGGGGCGCTCGCTGAGCAAGCAAGTGAGCATTGGCACCTTGCGGCTATCCTGGGAGTTACATTGTCTGGAGTGTCTGGGCAGACGAACAGGTAACTCGTTGTCGAAATTGGCACTGTGACAGGGCGGAGAGCAGCCAGCGGACATGCCGATAACATCTAATTGAAAAGCCTTATCAGAAATCGTACTCTGGTCACGAGGTCAGTGAACAACTGCATCGATCTTTATCGAGCTCCGTGTTAGGCTCTTAACTGGGAGTAAAGAGGTGGTCCACCACGGTTATGTGAGCGCAGCACACAGCACAAACACCCACCGAGGGTCCCACCACAATTCGGAAATCTCGGTGAAGAGTCGCTTTCATTGAAGCGCGGGTGTCAGCCTGGACCACAAACCATCGAGTCGGAACATCGGAGGCGAAGGCGAGGGAGGGGTGGGAGTGACGGGAGTGACGGGGAGAGGAAAGGGACCAGGAAGCGAATGTGAGCAAAAGACGAGGAGAGCGCGGACGGACGGGTAGAGTCATGCGTGCTCTCCTTGGAGTAACGCCTCTCACCATAGCTTCACCACCCTGCAGGACTTCCCCCAACATTCTCAAGTCTGCCTCTTTGAAGTCGCGGCCATGCTGGCCTGCCATGACTTTTCATGCGTTGCATGAATCTGTTCAAGTTCTTCCGTCCACCACCACTGCCCTGCCTTCTCTGAGTGGTTATGGAGATACTTCGGCCACATCTTGCTCGCACATCCCAACCCCTTCTCTCCTGGTTTTTTCAGGTGTGCTGAGTCTTCGTCCTTTCTCGTGCATTTCCTGGGCAATACGCAAGCAATCTGCAGTTATCGCCGATGATTTGCGGACTCTGTGCACATTTGGTGCAGCTCATCGCTTGATCCCTCAAGAGATTCTATCTGCACGCTGAATTTTGCAGGAGGAACAGCCTTCAATGGTGTTGTGGAGGAGCTGAAGAAGTTCACCACACGTGTAGCACATGTGCTACCCGTTTCAGACGATGGAGGAAGCACATCGGAAATTGTCCGCGTCCTCGGTATGATGGTCCCTCTCTGTCTCTGATTTCGTGGTGGGGTGTTAGTCGTCGTCCTTCTGGATTCTAGTGGCATGCACGCTGGCGGTGCTTCAGACAGAATGTGGCACTCACAGCATGTTAACTGCCACGAATGCAGGTGGTCCGGCCGTGGGAGACATTCGATCCAGGTGCCTGCGACTCTCGGATGAAAGCACGTCCGAAGCGATGGCTGTGAAGAGGATGCTTGGCCATCGACTGTCTTTGATCGAGGGGGAAGCGAAAGCCGAGTGGTATTGAAATCTCGTGTTTTGTCTCACGTTTGTGTTGTGACTTTTCCTTCTTCTCAGGTGGGGGTTTTCACAATTAAAGTGGCCTGGCTGAAATTCAAGCGCATTGACTCAGAGCTACCCGCTGTATATGTGCTTATTATCTGCAATCACTGCGGACCGGGCTTGGACAAGCGGACTAATTCTCACAGTTCTCACGCGGTTGTCAATTCCGATTGGAATGCCACTGAAGGTACGAGATTGTGGAGGGAGAACATGCACTCTGGCAAGGCGTTTCGGGTCCTTACAGGGAAACAATCCGCGCTTTTCTCGTACATTTCCAGACGCAGGTGCTCTGACACACCGTCCTTCTACGCATCCTCACTTCGTAATAAGTTTCACAGTGTTGCATCTGGGATGAGGGAGCTTCCTTTCAAAAGTCCTATGGGGCAAGCAAAGTTGTGTGATCGTACTATTTGGTTATCTTTGATTTACGTGTGGCTCATGGCACTTAATATCTCTTGAGCAGATTCTTCGACATCCACACGCAAGGTTCAAGTTTCGCAACGGGAGGTATATTATCCCCACTATAGATATGACTCATTTTCATCAATCTCAAAGAAGCGTCGATTTTCTCTTTCAACTAAGAGGTTTAGGGTTGGTTGAGCCGATTCGAATGCTCATTTTTCGGTTTTAGTTTTGAAGATTGAATCTTAAGGCTTTGAATGCGAGGGAATTCCTGGTCAGTCAGACCAAGTCTAGTGTTGAAGTTTTAGTGATATTAGGAAGACAAAGAAGAGAATTCTCTACAACTTGGCCAAACCCACATTCAAAGCTTTAATATGTGGAATGAAATTACAGCACCGTAGAATAATACCCATTTCGATGTTTAGGTTTTTGTGGTGGCATTATATTCAAAACTTGGCCACTGCCAACTGATCTATAACCGTCTTCTCGTTTGCAGTATAGGCAACTTCTTCTTCGCAGGAGCTCGTATTTTCTTACAGTCTTTAGAAGCAGCGATTTTTCTTTACTCTCGCGTTTGTCAGTGCCCCACTGACAGTCTTGTGCTTCCTGCAATCTGCACAAACGACCGCCTTACACTCGGTTCAGAGCTACTTGTGAGTATCAATAATGGTCTCATCAATCATGTCAATTTATTTTTGTCCTTTCAGATGAGTACAAGTACGAGGTCAAGTTTCCTGAATTGTGCCCAAGCTATTCTACAGGTTAACCGGGTATGGAACGCCCATATGACAGTCTTACTGATAATCTCGGATACGATGATTTTATGCATGCAGAATGGTACAATTATAAAGGGACAAAACGAGATTTCTCACCCAATGAACAGGGACACCAACGGCGTTATCTCACATGCTGTAAACAAAGTCAGTACTCCCAAATCTGTACCTCCAATGTAATTAAAAGAACATTGCAGACTGAAGAATCTACGCTATTGTGGATCTCCTAAATTTACCTAGTCTGACACCTAGTAGAAGTCTAAGTCTTGGAACTCATGTTGCTTAGTAGTAGGTCTTAGATGGGAAGCATCCACGACCTGCTTGTCGATGATCTCAAATTTTAACTTTTTTCCACATGTCCATGATCCTCTCTGTCGTTCTCTGAAGATTATTTTAACATCCCGCTACGCTGGATGTAGAAATAATCTTGCCGAGCTCTCCTGGTTTATTTTATCCCCTGCTCCATTCACAAAGAGCTTTCAATTCCAGTTCTTCACCTTCGAATGTATCGCGTCATGATCTTAAATTCTACATATGCTCGTCACGTATGACTCCAGTATCTACTCTCAGGATTCAAGCTTTTCTGTTACAGTTTATCTTTTAGACGAGAAGCATAATGTTCATCATGCTTCAGCTTAGACTTAGATTTAGAGGTTGTGCAGTCTAGAACTTATAGAGCGTCTCCTTCTTCTTTTCCTGGAGATATGTCTACCTTCTGGATATTTGTCATGTATCGTACGAAGGAAGGTCATTGAAGTTTGCACTGCCAGTGCCCATGAAATACGTACGAACGAAATACACCGCTAAATTGCCACTAACTTTGTCATACTGACTCAACACAGGTGAGACATTCCTCAAGTGCCCTTCCATCTCCCATCAAACGCATATTCTATATGTCAAGTGAGGGCACCAACCTCCTGCACGAGGTAAATCGCTTTTTCCGTATTCTTAGTATCGTAGAGTGATTCTGTACTTCTCTGTTATCTCTCCTCGAGATTTTGGGAAATGATGCAATTATCAACATCACGAGCCTTCAGACATGAATGAGGATGGATAAATACATCGATTTGGATCAGTTAGTTGTGGAGTGGGCATGCGTATAAGGATCAGAATATATTTGCAATTGGTTTGGGGTGATTGGGCTTCTCCACTTATAGAACTATCCCTCATGATATTGCACGTGTAGCCCTGGATTTAAGAGTACATGTTACTGAGGACTCCTGAGTATACCGATCCTACCAGATTTCATTATTTCACTCCCGTCCATCTCCATGCTTCCATACTCCTAGTAAGACGGAGTTCGATGTCGGACTTCCTACGGATATCATTGTACAAGTATTGACTGTGCATCAAACATGTGTATGTACCATTCTTAATACTCTTAGCCCACAAGATTCATAAAGCTTCTATCCACCTCAAGTGACGTATACCAGATCTGGAGGTCAATGACTGAGCCTTGAAATAGTTCGTTACTATTCGCAATTTTGTTTCTTTACATTTGCCGATCTGCGGTCTATAATGATCGAGACGAAATATTCTAATGATCCTAGGAATCTCGGCTTGGTACGTCTGAAAAAATCGATTAGACGTCTTTCGTTGGAGTCACAGAGTAGCTCGGGTTGAAAGCATCATGCATAACGTCGATAGCGTGAGTTTATTTAGATGAGATGTTATGAACGGTTCTAGACTACAAGTATTTTCAACCCCCGAGTTGAATATTTTACCATCGGTAGGTCATGTGGATAGATAGTTCAAGGGCAATGCACTTTACCGTTTCACGAACTGTCTTGTGAAACAAACCTATATCGAAACGCACAAGATTGTTGTCTTTGGACTTTTCAAATTAGTTCCAAATCTAAACCTTGTTATTTGATCTACAGGTTTTCCCTGTGGTCAATACCGCTGTTTTAGAGCAGCTTCGTCAAGTTGATGCTGTTGTGTATGGAATGGGTTCTCTCTACACATCTATCTGCCCATCTCTGGTAAAATATCATTATCAAAGTCAGCGATATCGTTTTGTTTTATGTTGTATTTCAAGCTCTGCTCTGTAACGCTCGATGACTATTGAGCTTTATAGCTCAAAATCACCCGAATTATGTAGCCTTTCCATCTGACCTTGATGGTTTGAGTAAATTGTAGGTGCTTCGTGGAGTAGGAGAAACGATTGCAAGACGCACATGTCCCAAGGTATGTGTAGGCGTCCATGGTCTCGTTTTCCTGAAGGTTGTTTGAATACGAAATCTTCGACAGTAGGGCGACATACATGTAGAGAGAGGAGTATTCGTTTTATAATTTTATATGTAACGATATTCAATTCTGCCCATTTTTCCTGCACATATACATAACTAATGAAAACTGCAAGTAATACTTTTGATAAATTGAAGTAATTTCAAAAGAACTGTTTCGACATTTTCAGCATTGAAATAGTCTCATCGAGGTGGAATAACTGCACTGTGAAGTTGTTTTTTCACAATGTGTGCATATGAATGGATGGAGTTTTGATGAACAACGTTGATTAATTCAATGAATTTGAACATATCAGATTCTTGTCATCAACGGTTCATATGATAGAGAGACCTCGGGCATGGCAGCATCAGATTTCGTAACAGCTGTTAACAATGCTCTAAATCGAAAGTACTGCAATGATCCACAGCATCTTCTTCAGTACCCGGTACGCAGTTCCAACTGCCACAACATCTTGCTTATCACCGTACCAATACTTGTGATTCTTTAATAATTCCCCATTCTTTTGGTTTTTATTATCTTTCCAAAAGTTCCAGCATTTTATGGTAAGCTTGACAGCAGATGTCGTTGCTGTTATGCTTGCCGGATTGTAGGCAAGTCAGTTTGTGAACGTTGTCTTGGTGCCTAAAGGAGGAGAGATACTGGTTGACTATGACAGGCTAACTGCTATGAATATCAGCAATGTGGTACGTAATGCTAAATCTTCAAATTTCAGTTTCTTGTCTACAGCAGGCGGTCAAAATGTACTGCGATCATTTCTTTTAGTGAAGTTTCTTGTACTTTGTGGACTTGTGGGCTGATCAGGTTTAAACATTATTTTATGTACCGCAGATGGAAGTCACTTCAATTGTTGACGAAAGAGTTGGAGTTATCTATAAACCTAAGGCCCTTATTAGTGCTTTGAAACGAATTCTTCGTCAGCATCTCGTAGAGTAATGTGGGAACTCGGGCTGGAGCAGTATCATAGATACCAAAGTTTAGATCTAAAAGTTGGGACATTCCCAACCCTTTGTACACTTGCCACAAATTTGTTAATAGTTACTACTGTTTTGACCTTCTCCCCCTCTTCGTTCTGATTTCATATTGAACGTGTCAACTTTGAAAACCATCAACTCTTTCGGACCTTAGTACTCAACACCCAGGCAATCTGGGAAAAGCATGCTAAGTCATGAATGAATTGTTTTTCAGTTACTGCAGCTCTCGAAGTTGAGTTGAATAATGGGTCCATAGAAATAGGTCTCATGAAAAAGGAAAACGTGAAAAATCTTCTAGAATAAGTTCACAAAAATTCGTCCCTCGGACCTTGGAGAAAACTTGTCAAAATCTTGGGTTTTACATGAACTCACAAAAGTAGGGCCAACTCGACTCTGTCGAGCTTAAATTCATCAAAGTCCTACAAATCAGACCGCACTGTAGTTGTAGTCCCAAGCTTTTCTGTCCCTGTACCCCACAAAGCTGACTCCGGCAGCTCACAAACCGAAGCATCTCTCCTGCCAATCTACATGCATTACGCCACTGCAGCCGTCGACTCGCCAAACTCCTTCACACCCAAATGACCTAAATGACCCAAAAAAAAATCTTAAACTGCTCACAGCCCATCTGCATAGTGGCTCTCTCCAACTCTCTTCCAAGATCCTGGCTTTGTATATCAGACCAGCATGGGTGCAGGCAGGCTACATGCATGAATATGGTGACACTGGTATCTATCAGCCTAGTGGATCTAGAGCAGGGGCTACGCATTCGGTACCCATTGAAGCGTGGTGAACTGTGACGACCCTACAACCCTTCTACGAGTCGTTCAAGCACCGTGTGGATCACGAGGACTTCCATGTGGGAAAAGCGGCTGTTCCAGTGCTTCTTGGCCGAAACGTGAAAGAACGAGTATTCGCATCTACGTTTGCTCAAAGGAGAGCACCACATTGTGTAACCGTGGTTCATAAGATACACTGGCTGATTGGTGATCACAGACAGCAGCTATTTCTTACATTTTGTGGACACCGAGGAGACACATATGTTAGAATGCTTGTATACGGAGCACAGATCTTGCATTTTGGAATGTTGACGACGTTCACTTCTTTGCTGCGATTGGTTCTATGCATCTCCTCTCACGTCATACTGACTAAGGCTGTTCACTGTATTGGCCTTATTAGATTTCTCAGCCTAGCTTCAAACATTCTCGGAAGACTCTTTCTTCTTAGCCGGGATGCCACAGTTTTCTGCTGTTCCTGTTGCTATCAAATCGCCGTATTGTGACAAACGTCAGCCAAATGCAACCAGGTGCGTTTCGAGGGGAAAAGAAGTGTTCAATAGACAAAGCACTGAATGTGAGAAAAAGCCCAACAGAGATTCACACTAGCTTGGGGAACATATAAGAAGTATCTGAGTGAACAAAGAACCTTTATGGACAATATGATGTGAAGGCATCGATAGGGAGCGTGAAGGTCAAAAGCCAGGCCAATCATATACATATAATGCAAACAGGAAGTTATTGTGAAAAGAAAGCTGAAAGCTTCTATGTGGAAGAATGTCGATACTAGACCCAACGTACAGTGGACGGCTATACCTGTATGGAATAATGATCGCGTATCGAGCATTTCAACACGCAAAGCTAGCTATCCAGAACTTCAAATGTGCACCCTGTACATGAAGTGAGGATGCCTCAGCGCCGCATTATGTTCCTTCGTAGAGTTCCTTGTAAGATTTTCGCTCACGGCTCATGTGATCACACGGAGCGCTCTCAAGAGCCTTCTGTCTTGGAGTTCTCTAGTTTAATCCTGAATGTGTCATTTAACTTGTTCCGCGCACATGTCGCACTTTTGCCGCCGTCCATCTCAATGCAGAATCCGATTGAACAGTGCATGTGAGCATATCAATGAAGAAACAGCTGTCCCAGGCTCAGGCTCAGACTCAAACTGAAACAGTGCCCCAGAAAGTCCAGTATCCAGTGACCCCAGACGACATGGTTCAAAGAGCTGGTCTGATACTGGGTAACTCATGGCTTGAAACTGGATACAAACCACAGTGCCAACAGAAATCACCTGCAGTTAGTTGCAAGTGAAGCAGCCGAAGCAGCAAACTATGAGCGGCGTTACATCATCCCTCGCAGACCTGAAAGTGACGGTAAACGACAAACACCAACAACATCAAATCCTGCCTTGAGATTTTCACTTCACCGCATGCACAGGAGTCATAGAGTCACTTACTCACTATCACAACCACATGCTCAGAAATCATGTCATAGATATGAAGGAAGAGAATCCACCAGCACAATGCTTGCCAGAAATGTTCCGAACAAAAGCAACTCAGGCTTTCGGTCCATCCCTTCAGGCGGTGCGTTTCAATCACATGAAACGACTCGTTTGGAGCTCGTTTCCCCGTCCACTTTAACACTCCCGAGGCACACCCCATCATTATCATCAGGACATGTCTCGCTTTTGGATTTCCGTAGATACTTCTGTTAGAGCTGCTGAACTGGAGTGTACCTTAAAGCAGAGATCAATTGCGATGAACGAATGAACACTTGGAAAATAAGTGCTGCTTCAAATCCTGTACGAGAGAGCAGCTCCACTCCAGTCGAGCTACGTGGTTGTTGGTTCATGATGCAACCACGGGATCTGCCCCTGCAAAAAATCTGGGCTGCCCCATGCTGCTCCAACTTCACGTCCATGTCATGTCTGGTCAACTGCGATACATCACACCGACCCAACCCCGCGTCGGGATACTCCAGAACCACGACGGCGCGGAGTAAGGCCACGCCACCGTGCCTCGCGGAGAACCATGCCTTGCTCCCGATCCCCAGTCCGCTCAGCAGGAACACTGACCGACCGAGTACGAGTCAGTCACCCAGTCTCTTCTAGAACACGGCCGAATTGCATACGCAGTACAGAAGTTCCCTGGCTGTCCACGATGCAGTACCTTCTGGCCTGGCCGACCACCTACTTTACCATGGTGGTGGCGTGGTGGTCGCAGTAGCCACTCCCCCTCGAGCCGACTGTGGTCCGACAGATCAACAGCTCGTCGAGCCCAATAACGGAAATCACAATAACGTCAGATTTATTATTGAGCATCCAAGCGATGGCCTGTTTCTGGGTGTAGAGTAAACCCTATGAATACTTCATAAATAAAATTGGAAAAGGGCAAGTGACCGTTTGTCATCATCTAGAAAGTGCTGTAACACTAGAAATAAGGGTATGTCCATGGAAATTCGGCCCACTCAGATGACTCCAAGTTAGGAAATAGTGTCGATCCTCCAGTTCCATGTCCATGACTCTCAATTCAATGCACTGAGTTCCGATAAGTCGCTCTGGGATTTGCGGGCGGTGGTTCACAAGTAGGGCATGCAGCATTATAACGAGGTTTCATGCTCTGAAGCTTCATATCAGGGTCTAGATGCTACAATTCAAAAGTGGACTGAGACCCACGCTAGATATGAAATTGAGATTTTATTCCTACTTCTTATTAAATATGGGCAGAAGTCTGTTTCTTTTGGTGGGCATGATCATTATCTCAAAGAACTCACTTGCTCAACATGCTAACCTTTTAATGATTTGTAGATGAATCTTGGTCATGGCTTGCCTTAAATCCGCCCTAAAAGGCGATTAGCTTTTGTTGACATTCGATGGTACAGTGAAAGCAAAGAATTTGTAGCCCACAATTCCCAGTAGAGCTCTAGCAGCGAAAAGAAATTCTCCCTTTCATAGAAATTCACGTAATTCACGCTCTACAAAGGTCTTTGTACTTCTTGAAAACAGGAGCCTACCCTACCAACGACAAAGTGAACCAACGTATGTTAGAAGTTAATAATGAGACTGAAAGAAAGTACGCTGATAAAGTTTGCCTGCTTAAGTTTGAAGAATTAGTCCACTACTAGTGCACTGTACATTCAGCTTTTGTCTTCATGCCACCCTTCCAATCCGGATCCGCTAGAGTGTTTACAAGATTGCGTTCCAGTCACAGTGACACACTCTATAAATAATTGATCAGTTTGGTAGATTTGATGCTTTAGATTCATCTGACTAATTCAATGTAATCTCCTCGATATGATTTCATTGTTATTGAACTGCATTTTAATGGAAGTGATTAGTGTACCGGAGATAAAATCAATGAAATATTCATTTTTCTTCGCTACATTTTGAAGTTCCAAATTTTTGCGTGAGAAAATGTTCCGAAGATATTCTCACAAGCAAAAAAATTAAGGCAATACCACTAATTCATATTGCGATATTGACAAGTCATTAGAGCATATTGACAATATGACAGTCATTGGCAGTCGAATGCTCATCAATATCTTACTTTTGATTCCAGCAACTGATGTTGACCGTAAGTCCTCTTTGAGTTGAAGAGATTCAAACAAATGATTAGCAAAGAAATCTTGAAAAACGAAAGGAAAGTGAAGGGGGGAGGGGAAAAAAGCGAAAGATATGCACACAAGAGAACACCTAAAGGCAACTTCAAGAAATTTTTTCCGCAGCTAACTCCTGTTGTGATATATGCCTATCTTGGATGGAATTACAGTAACAATGAGGATTCAGACAAAGCTATCTTTCTTTCCGCATCTGCTCTTTTCACTTTGAAACTAGGAAATAGCATGTGCAAATCTGGCCAGGACCTAAAGCTTCAGATGACCATAATGTCCCGAGGTATTTTAAGCCAATTATATTTTGGGTTAACTTGTCGAGATGGTTAAACCTGAATGTCAACATGACGTTATCCGTAGAGAGTGCCGCTACTCTCACTCCATCTCTCGGATGGACTACTGTAGAGGTAGAAACACCAAAACGAACCTTTTGACTAAAACCTTCAATGAGTATGCCAAGTTGGGAATATTCTACGTAAATATATATATTTATTACCAGCTCATGCACCAAATTTAGCTGCAAGTGAGCATAAAATAATTCGACTTTGATATTTCCACTCGCACGAGTAAATGCCCTCTCATGATTACACTAGAGGTATAACACAAAAGAAAGTATTGCTATCAATGACGCCTAGGTAGGGCCTAAGGTAAGAGACAACCAATGGCTTGATACCCTATCACTGAATACCACCAGCGAGAGTGCATATAACCTTTCGAAAAGATAAGAGACTAGATAGAGAGCGTGTGCATTTGTCGTAGGGCCATACTGACCGACTGTTAAGGCGCCGGAAACCAAAAGCGGCATATGCGACATTACAAGATGAAAGGATTGAGGGGAAAAAAAATGACATCGGATTGCCGTCCGACGGCTCGAACCTAGTCCATAGGATCAGTCAGTCCGTTGCGTTTGCGTTTGCGTATGGCAACCCGTTTGCCAACATGGGTTCCTGTTCGAATTCCAAATCGACGCTCATGGCGGGGAAGGGTGACGTTCGAGAAGGAGGTGATCCAGGCCGCCCAATGTGACCACGTCCGGCAGCTTTGGCTTGAGATGAACGGAACGAAGTGCCGTCGCCCTTGACCCGACTCACGAGGGTGACCCAGGGTCCCGACGAGGTACCCGCCCCAAACGGTAGCGGAGGATCACAATCTGCGGTCGGTCTGATATTCGCTCGGTATGTCGGTCGGTCTGTTGGCCTCGGTCGGCCTCAGTCGGTCTCGGTCGGTCCAACCGGACGAAGCCTCCAGTGTCGCCGTTCCAAACAATACGCGCTTCGAATCCAGCAGCGACGGAGTACGAACGCTCTGCGGGCAGGACGAGGACGAGGATGATGATCACCGGTGACCATGCACCAGAGTGGGGAACAGACAGAGCCAGACAAGACAGACGGACTGACCGAAGGTTGGTCGTGAACCCAGTGGCGAGTGACATAAACCTCGAGTCAGCTCGAGGGTTAGAAGACCGGAGAGGAAGCCTTCACGCTTCAGCGTGTCAGACTTCTCAGTGCCTGGCACCTGCAGCAGCAGCTGGTTTGGATTTTGACCGGTTCTACCCGCGCCTTAAAGAGGGCCATGTTACAGCTTTTGGGGCCGGTTGTATCCGAGGCCCTCGGTCAGCCGATCGCTGCGGGAAGGTGGAGGCAGGGGGCCGGATTCCGCCCCTCGATCTCTCTTTATGATCGCGAGCAGCGGAACGCTTGTGTGCCGAGGGCTGAGCTTGCCATGTCGAGGCCATGGCTGGTGTCGTTCGCGATAATCGATGCGGTTGGAAAAAAAAGCGAGAAGTTTCCCACGATGGAAACGCAGTAGGTTCGTTGTGATGGAAAGGTGATTTCTTTTGTTTCTCCGCTGACGAGTTCGCGGAGGCTATTCACATGTAGAGCGGCTGATGATTGAGCGCGACCTTGTGGGCTGTTAGCTATCTGGATACACATCTGCTGAGATCTGTCAAGATGACGAACTTTGACTGGGATTTTTTCTATTTCATTGTCAACTTGAACATATCAAGGGTGCATTCACTTGCAGGTCAACGACAGTGATTGGTCACGCAATCCTATGCTCAAGAACGCTGCAAATTTGTGTAGGTACTAAGCTGGTACAGTTGTACATACATGACCATGCTTTTCATGCATTAATATTGTGATTAGTCCTTGTCACGTCCGGACGTCGAAAGCTGTTGACGGGACGAGCACAAATTTTGCTTTTCACATAGGCGGTTTATAACGACCGAGCGTTCCGGATCGAGTGCCTGAAAATAATGACGAGTACTTGATTAAGATAACTTTTTGTCTATTTGCAGGAAAGCTCAGCCTTGTTTTTATGGTGGTTGTTGAAAAGTTTAGTACAAGCATTTTGAGGTGTTTGAACCAAATATGGGTACCAAGTTCGAACTAGTGTGCTGGAGATGGTTTCGGAGGAGTATCATGAGAAACCTCCACCAAACTTACAACAGCAACCTATGCATCTATGGGATTTTGCCTCGTATGATATCCCACAAACACCGAAGACGAATTTGCAGTGCAAGTTATTGTACTACAATATTGTAAGCACAGTGGTAGATATGGTCCAGATATTCTCATGTTGCTTTTAAAACGATCGTGGAAACCCAGCTGGAACTTCGTACATCATATGTGATACAAAACGCAATTACACCGTCCCTAAAAGTGTGTCATTGTGGTGGACCTCGTTCTACAGCTCGAGCTACACATGTGACCAATGGTGAACGTTCAGTACCTGTTTCCTCCTTTAGGGGTAAATCATCACATCCAGAAGTACTTCCCTTTTCAAGCATTTCAATTGACCCCTTGTCTTACTCTGCTAACGCCTTAAAACCAACAATTGTTTGTATTCTCATTGTTCGAGGCTTGAATGGCATACAGTAACTCGCAGCTTCGCGAAATTTGAAAATCATGTAAATGTTCAGTCAGATCAATAATTCACTGATGAGAAAAAATTTCTGCTACAGTTTTCCTACATATGTGGTTGTTGCATTCCCAAAGAGTAAGTTTCAGCGATGAGTCAGGCAGGGAAATATGTTCTCCACCATCTCCATCTGCAACGTCTCACATAGTCCAGGTCAGACCTGTCTGAGGACTACAGATTGAAGGTATGTATCAGTCTATGTGGTATTCGTATATGAACAAGAATTCTTCCTGGACAGGAATATCTTATGACAACCTTATCATGCACAACGACACTCTGTCAATCACGCAACGAATCAACCGTAAACGATCTTAACAAAAGTCATGGACTTGGAGTAGAACCTGTCTATGATTGCAGCTCGGAAGGCGAACGATTGGCTGTTAGTAAATGTTTCTGTCAGAATGTGATCTGAGGGCAAACGTGTGCAGATGCAAGTTTTGCTTTTTTGAAATTAACTCAGAATAGATTCTTAATTAAATTGAAATGACTTTCTGCCTTGGCCTTGTGGAATCATTAACATAATGATCTGACAATATTGATGACCAGTAACACTACTTAAGAAGTAGGCTAAGATTCTGCTTGTCTCGGTAGACCTTATCTCTAGCTCCCAGGGATTGACCTCTTACATATCTGACTGTCACGTATAAGTACATTCCCGCCCTCAGTAGGCGTTGCATGATGTACGTACCTTTATCAGGACAAAACATGTACACTCTTCAAATATGAGTCATATTTGAAGAGCGTCATATTATATGACGCTTGGTTCATATTGATTATGGACCGAAACCAGACGTGTTTAACGAACAGGCCCCTCTACTACTACCAGTAACAACTAGAAGCAGCGTGAGACAACTGCGCATACCGAGGAACAACGACCAACCTAACGGTTTTGTTCATCATATCTTTGTAAGATTTGACGATACTAAATTGAACAATGAACGCCCCGAGAGACCTGTGTGATATGATATTCTGACTTGAGATAATATTTACAGCCAAGCGAAACCTAGTTAAACAGCGAAAAGGGACGTAAGATAAGAATTCATTTCTAATTTTCAGAATTGTGAGTATGTTTAGATTCAAACATTTGAAGGTGCTTAAGATTTTCAGGTTTGGATTTAGAGGATCTTTGAAGGACAGAGTTACTCGATGTTGCTTCGTCGGAGGTATGGGCTGCTTAATTTCGTAAAGGTCCAAAGGCAATCCGTCATAAAAGAAAAAAGAATCCGTGTGTACTGTAAGACGTTGCATCGATTTCTAGTGCTTGCCACATCGCAGATGCAAGCCACCGTATCGAGATATTCTTATTACCAGGCGCTTCAAAGCTTCCCTCAACCGGACACGATTTCGAAGAAAATAATGTGGTGACAACCCCCATCCTGACAAGCTTTCGAGCGACGAATCAGCCGAGCCACGTTTCGATCTTGGAGCTCAAGAGAGGTGGATATTCCGAATTTGCAATCATACTGAACAAGCACATGGTTGTATCACATGGTGCTGGAATGCGCGGGGCGCTGGTGGTGACCTGTTCGCCATTGCGCCGCAACGCGATCATATTCCTGCGACTCTCACGACGTTAAATGCTCCGATCATGCACATCGCGAACTCCTCGATAGAGCAGGTCCAGGAGAGGAATAGAAGACATCCGACGAGTACAGCTCATGCCTTGAAACGAAATCACAAGAGGAACGCCAGCAGCCGCACTCGCGCTGCTCGAAGAAGCTGGATGCGTCGGATTCCCGGATCCATCCTACGCGGGACGTAAAAGCAAGGCAGCAGGAGTATGTACCGTAGACGAGGCCGACGAAGCGTATATCGTGGTTCGTACGCGTGGTACTACTTGTCCGGATACCACATCCGGGCAGGGCGGGCCGCGGGCAGGAAGTCAGGCCGTCAGTCAGTCAGTCAGTCAGGCCCGCGCGGGCGGGTGGGCCGCGGGCGCGGGCGAGGAGCGTCGGGGCGAGGCGAGGGGAGGGGAGGGGAGGCGCCTATGATTGTACGTATAAATATGCATTCATTTGAACAGAGGAGCACAAAATGGACTGACAGACAGACCGACTGGCCTCTTGGCAGAAGGTTCCGTGCGCCAGAGATTCGTGCGCCATGGGGTCCGGCACTCAGACATCAGCGAGCATCACAAGAGAAGGGTGTGCGGCGCATATGCAGACCCCTCACTTGCCTCCCTCCCTCCTTCCCTCCGTGCGTTTATGTCGAGAGGATGGACGTCTCGCTCTGCGCAAGATGGACGGTTGGAGGAGGACTGAGCGTTCTTTTGTGAAGTGTGTGGAATGGTCGGAGCGTAATGTTGGCTAAAGCAAAAGAAAACGGACCCAAAAGAGCGGCGTGGAGCGTCGTAGATTGTGTTTTTTTATCAATTGGAGATCCAGTGCGTTTGCATAAGGAGGTAGGCACTGATTATTTTAATTTTTTAATTACTGAGAGGGTATGGGTTACGTATGGAGGGGTTAATGGTGGTAAACTGTTGTCATAAATGCATCTCTCTGAGCCGGACGATAGGAGAATTTGTGACGAACGTTGACGACCGAGCTTTTAGCGCGACAGAGTCCCTTGCCCTTCTCTTCAGAAGTGCATGACGAATGCTGTTATGAGTTTCCGCAATATTAGGTGTTTGCAATCATGGCTTGAAGTTCTCGAGCTTACCACTCGACGTTTTGGCCAACTAATCAGAATTGGTAGGTGGGTAAATCACACGTCCTGGGTCTGTGCATAGCTGTTGCACTTTCCACCTTTTTCAGGACAGTTTGACTGCGAATTGATCTGTCTCGTCGTTGTATCACTGGTGAGTTTCGAAGTATTCTGACGAACCATCACGGTTGCTCTGACGAACAAGGAAAGTACGTCATCATACTTACTGACGATTTGGGTTCGCTGATTTGATGCATGTGTGTTGCAGCTGTAAGATCGTACGCATTACGTACGTCCGGGAACTCTTATGTTTCACTTAGGAGACCACTACTATCTACGACATATATATATTTCCTTCCTGCCTTGAGCTTTCACGTAGAAATCATCTCCGTGATGGACACAATGCTGCACGTCGGATGAAGACTCTCACACATAGTCTTCAACTTCAAGACTTCTGAGACATAGTACCTGCACCGCCATATATAGTACCGTGATACTATGTGACACATGCAATACTCTGGAACTTTTAGCAAGACGATCTGAATTATGGACGAGTGTGCAGGTTCTGCACACACGATTGTATGTATAACTCGTCACTTTCTCTAAAGTCGAGTCAAGTCCTCGCATCAAATTTTCTTACTAATCCCATAAATCTTGGCGGTTTATCGTTCGTTTCAAGTTTAAATATTTTCCACTGACGCTCGTTGGTTTGAAGACCTGGTTGCTAGAATAGGACATAGATTTAGCAAAACAAGTTTCAGCTTTCTTGTATACAGTCTGTGGAACAAGTATATTGCCGATACGCAATCTCTTAGTTTTCTCCATCTTTGCAATAGCTAACGTTGCAACCGAAGGTAAGTTAGCATCTGCAGAAAGCAGACTACTGGACGTCGCTGCGTTTGCATTGAACGGTGCTGTGGTAATCGAATGAGGCGTCAAGGCCGTGAAGCTCGTGCTGATCGCATTATTTGAAGTTGGGTAAATTTCCTTCTATATTAAATTGCGAAGTGCGTGACTTCGAGACTCGACTTAAGTAACTTAGGCTTGGATTTCCTTTCGTTTAATACATTTTTGATTGATATTAGCCTCAATCTGTTCTCGGTTCTGATCAACACGTTGGATCGGGTACTCTTTATTTCCATGCTTGACATGCGGTTTGGTTCTGATTTCGGCTATTCACTGACATGTACTTTTAACAAAAGTCAACGTCAGCATGTTTCTCTTATGTACACAAGCCGCCTTGTAATGTCAAACTTTCTTGATTCTGAACTCAATTAGTGAGAGATGATCAGGTGGGGAGTGGTTATCAGAAACCTTATTCCATTTTCGTGGATCCAAGAAGTGATGAAAGTGATTATGCGTATCGATGGAATTCACCTATTTGGACGGTAAAAAAAGAAGAGAGATATTGGACGAAACTGCTCTGAAACCTTATCAGTTGTTACATGAGCGGAGCATGATTCACGAAAACGGAGCAAGGGTCCTGATAAATATTCTTCACCTGATCGTCTTTCACTGGCTGAAGGTCAGCGTGAAGTGAGTTACGGATAGAATGTGAGTCTACGAAGCTAACACAAAGTGAGAATGCATCTGACATAGAGCTTTTGCAGAGAGGCTGAAAAGCGGGAATGACTTGTCATCCTTCTTCAAGAAAGGTATATCTCAGACCCTACAGATTCGTGAGAGATGATCAGGTGGGGAGAGATTATCAGAATTCTTATTCCATTTTCGTGGATCCGAAACCATCGAAGAAGTATGAAGGTCAGCAAGCTTCTTATCACACAACCCCAAGAACGTGGAGAACATGCAAAGCGTTCTGACTGCTGTTATCTTCGAGCAAATCCTGCATACATGACCCCGAAAACGGAGAAAGGAATCTGATAAGTTTTCTTCACCTGATCGTCTTTCATCACACTCAGTGTGAATGTGTGATGTAGCCCTGTACTTGGTTCAATGTCTACTAGGCCTTTAATGTCCCCGCATCTGCGGCCGGAAGATATGAATCTCCTCTTCAGATTGTTAGAGCGAACCGAATGTTTGTAGGCCGAACTGTGAGCAGCATATTTGTGATCCATAATCTCGAAAACAGTGTATCTATCACATTGTGGTAGATAAAACTGTCCAACGGTAAGTTGTGAATTAGATGATCACGTAACCGTCAACGCAGGTTCTTATGCTCTTTTCGACGTATTATTTCATTCATGACGCTTTCATCGGGCTTACTGGGTTATCACCAGTTCCGATAAAAATGATATCAGCATGTTCTACAGTAGTGTGGCTTCAATGATTAAATTCTCACATATACAGGCAGCTAGCGTGTAGATATCAACCAGCACGCGAATTTGGACGGAGTACTTGGAGACTCAGACATTTTTGGGGTTGTGCAATCATTTCAAATTATGCCTTCAGGTTATGAACCTGAAACTATTATTTCACATGCGGACTCGATCTCATTTTTCTTCACCCTCCACCAAGTTGCTACAGTGATATTCATGTTATGTTCACGTGCCAATAGTCCGGATTCAATCACTTTGAGAATCAGAATACTTTCACATCTGAATCCAATCTGGATGCATGAGGAGATAGTGTTCTGACAACGAATGTATTTACGACTGGAGTAGAATGTTTTTATTGCTCCATGCAAAAGACTTATGTCAGAGGCAATTGATATACGAGTACTTGACTTTGTAAAACTCGTGACTGTGAAAATTGGAAAGTCCACGTGAATATATATCACCACATGCAACTTTCATCAAAATTCCACATTACTAGATGTAGTAAAATTATTTTATCATGAAGATTGATATGGCAAAGATTGTACTCGCAGGACTACCTTGTAACGGAGTTAGTTGACGGCTTGGGACGGTAATCAGATTAATCGATATGGACAATAGTCGCTCGTGTCGAAAGAGCAAGCTGGACGGTTAGTTAACAAATATGAAAAGTGCCATAGATGTAGAGCGGATCTTGTCCTCTCAAGTCAGAACTTCTCTGCCCTAGAGTGTTTGTCCTTTCTTATTTCATCATTTGCACAATCAGTACAGATAAGGTCACTTTTCCAACACTTTCACTGAAAATGCACCAAGTTCCAGATGAGGTAACTGTAGCTCCGTGAGTACTACGTTCCCTCCTGCCGTATATTTCCATTCTGCTCTACATATCTATTATAGACAAGATAATACTGTTTGTACACATGGTAAAGATCACGATCGGTTGTAATTGGGCCATATAGGGCTCGCACGACTGTCAGTTTAAGCTTTCAGTTTATACGTCAGCAAGCCTAGAGACGGGACATTGTCTGGTCATGCAGAGCTTGGACAAGTAACAGTCGTCCAGCTTAGATCCCAAAGTGGGTGAAAAAGGTATGCTTCTGGTATGAATTTCTCCTGCTGCTTCTCCACTTCCATGACCTGAGGTAGTTCCTCTCAAATGCTCGTCTTCACTTTTTGACTCCCTGATCGGATGAGCCCCAGATGAAAACCCCGAAAGTTGTTCTAACAAGTAACTCAGGGCGAGTGATATGTGCTCGTGGAGTTGCATATAGCATATAATTAGCTCAGAGCATATTCCTAATGGTGCCAGTGGCCATTTTGAGGCAAAGATTCGCCACTATGACGTCATCATAATTGGTACGCACGTCAAGTACGGATAAAGGTCTTGCTGATGAATCGTACATATGCTCCTGTGTCAGATGAGGCGGTGAAGTGGCTGAAGTTCGCCTGCTGATTCCTGTGAGCCAAACACAAATCCCCAGTCATTTGCAAAGATGATACGGGAAAGATTGTTTATTCGCATGTAAGCCGAACGTCAGTTCGGCTTAGGCATCTCCGTGATCGTGGTGACGGCACAATCTCGCTGGTTAGAGTCGAATGTGAGCTTCGTTTGTGGAGAATAGAAAATAAATTCCGTCCCCTCTAGTGCCGCGAGTTTGTTTGTTGAGCCGCAGCTCCATCTACACGGTCCCATACTTTCTATAAGTTTCTTCCTATCTTCGGAGATAAAATGTCGATCGCTAGAACGTCCCGATCTCTGCTGCTCATGGTATGGAGGCTAAAGATGTTTGACTGACTTGGAAACCTGAGTGTCTTGCAGGAACAGCTAGAATCTGGCGACAATGTTCGACTGAATTTTCGGTAGATTGATTTGCACACACTTGATGCCGAGGTATCTTGCAGAGCGCTGCCAAAGACGTAATCACTTTATAAGATTCTGAACCTCGATATTGGTTTCACAGTAAGTCTGGCAGCTTTCTTCAGTAGCTTCTTTACCAATGGTAGCAATAAAATGCTGGGCAGTTAATATTCAAAGAGTAAACTTTTGTAACTTCTAGATTGAAAGATCTGTCGGGCACCATTAAGAGTCGTGATTCCATTCGCAAGGCCCCTGTATCGCTAAAGACTCTTTTGGAACCCACCTCTCCTACTGCGTGACATTCGCAAGGCCCCTGTATCGCTAAAGACTCTTTTGGAACCCACCTCTCCTACTGCGTGACAACTTCGGTGTACTCAAGAGTGTGTACACGACATTCCACTGACATCATACCCTGCAGGAATCTCCATTGTTTCCAATTGGGTCTAGAGCAGGTACTCATGTGTATTCCTTTCCTTGCATGGTATGAAAATTGTAGTCAAACTTAAAATTAATGTGTATTCATGATATATTCATGTCTCCAGATAGTCTCCAATACATTCAGTATAATCCCTTCATCAAGTAGCAACTTGAAGAAACTTTGTGCTATGCAGAAAGGTCAATAAGTTCCACCCCTCCTCGGTATTGACCACAAGGAGAACCTTGGTACATAACAAAGCCTTCTACCGGCTGCTTCAGAGCTAATGCGAACTGATGACACTGGCAGTTCCGATGTGAGATCGATTGAGACCAAAAACGAAAACGATCTGACCAAGTGGCATAGCAGTCTCACTGCTGCTTCAGCATCGATGTGAATTAAAAGGTTTCAGAAGCTGATGCAGGGACTTCGGTAAGAGATGTCCACATTACTCCATTCTAACTCGATCGAGCAAGAATATATCGAGTCCAGATAACGTATCCCTAGGACGAACCGTTCGAGGCACCGTAGGATCTCAACTTCACTGTAAGAGCTTCAAATTAGCAGCGCCTGACCACCTTAGAGTTCCGAACTCACTTGGTACTTAATAGATCCCTAGATATATTCAAGGCTGTACTACTTTAGGCGAATCCTAAGAGCTTTCTACTCAGCCGTATAGTTGATGCACTGATACCCCTGACCTCAGCTTCTTCAACGCCTCCCAAAGCTGCTGACGAGCACCTATCAAGGCCATCTTCTCTGATATTATGGCCCTCACCGCCTGTTGTCTTGCCCACGGTAATGGCACTGCCTGTACAGTTTTCTTAGTTTTCAGTCGCCAGTGCTTAAATGACATAGCGTTTTCAAGCTCTACTGCTTGTGCCATTTTTAATTCAGTGTCCAACTTGCAGAAAATCTCTAGTGATATCTTGATTCCTAAACTAGTGTGTTGCCGTTCTTCACTAGGACAAAACTTCACTGAGCAATAACCTTTGAAATGAAGTGCCAACAGGTACGTTGATGAAGCCAGCTCTCAGATGACTCACCTTCGTACCGTCAGCATCGTTTGCAGTCAAGGAGGCAACGTCGTCTTCGAGATTAGTTGGATAGCGATTGAGAAGGTCTTCACAGGCCCAGAGTATTCTCCTCAACACCTTGAATGCAGAACAAGAAAGCCCAGGTTATGAACAACAAGCATGAGAGAGCTGTCAGAGGTATTGATTGGAAACCTACTCAGGCACGTTGCAGATGTGATTTTGTCCTCATTTTCAGCTGTTACTTTTCTGAGTATCTGATTGCATATTGTACCTCTCCTTCATTCTCACGAGTGATGGCCCTGGAAAAGTGAGCCATTGCTGTCGATGCCCCATGATGCTGCCACATACTCATGGCCGTATCTTCTCTCCAACCGGCATCTGAGAGTTCCTTCGGTGAAGCTACCGCTGCTCGGGTCCAGGCCAAGACGCTTTCATTGACTCCGGTTGGAGTGAGTGTAAACATTGTACCTCCTATACACGAACCATCCAAAACTAATGAGATTCGGCCAGGTGCGATCGGAAACCGTTCCAAACCATGAGTATGCATCTCAGGTTCTTTGAAATGAACTGCACATTCCCAAAAGAAAAGGGGACGAATGACCCCATCCAGATCATGCAAGGACTTCAAGAGCAAAACAGTTAGCGGCCGAACAAAGCTTAGAACACTTCGCCTCCCCAAGCGTTATCACTCAAAAAGGGAACGCATGAGAAGGAAGCCAACCTGGAAAACTTGCGAAAAATGATGGTTTGATATCGGCAGAGGAAACATGCACTTACCATACGGCAAGCCAACCGTCTCCAAGAGCGTTGCATTGCGCTTGCTTTTCAGAGGGCCTAGATATTGTACCTGGTGACAGTAAGACATCAGCGCAGCTGCCCCATTATGTGGCAGATTCTGGTATTGCTTTAAGTAAGGCAGGAAGCAAATGAGGCCCAGCTGTAACCGTAGATTCGTTAGATGAAGAGTAATGGCTAATGTAATGGTTACTTTTCACAAATGGAAATTGTACAGAGAAGGTCAAGGAGAGGACTTGCCGGTAGATCTACCGCATAATTTCGATTTTCTTTGTCGACAAAGCCGTAGTCCAAGAGAAGTTGAGACGGTGACAAGTTTGGTCCGTACGAGTCATAGACTTGCTCTCCTTCTTCATAATTTTTGTGGGCTCGAAGGGAAGCTGTCCTAGTTTGAGAATCGTATACAAGACATGACTCTTTTCCAGCTGCACTGCTATGGTTAAGCATATCTGCCCATGGCACTAGTGCAATGGAAGGTCCAGAATCCAGCTGCACCTGAACGTCACGAAGCCATAACGGTGAGTACATCTTGATCCCGGCTATAACGGCTTTTACAAACTCTGCACTAGATTGTCAGAGAATACAATCTTCCTCTACACTAGATTGTAATTAGAGAGCTGACCTATTTCTAGCTAACGAGGTAAATGATCCCAGACTGCAACACAAGTCCTACAGTTTCTTCCTCTCAGGGTATTCTTCACTTACCGCCTCATCTAAGTCGAGAGAGAAAGAACGACTAAGGAGAATAACTGCTGCCCAGCGGACGGCTGACTCGGTCACAAATCCTCCACTTCCAGGACCAGCTGGCATCAGTTTGCTGGCACCACCAGCAAGCATGGCTTCATGATCCTCCCTGAAGACTACAAAAAATCATCTTAAAATCAGAAGGTATGGACTGAACCAGCTCCCCTCTTCGAACCCCCGCTCTTAGAAAACAGAGTTCCCTTAAAGCCCAATGAGTTGGAGCCCACTTGTCTTCACACACACTTGGTTTTGATAACCACTGTGAAGAAACGTAGCAAGAATTTTAACTAAGTTGACATCTCCGGCCTTGCCGTGCCTAGAGATAAGAAACAAATCATATATAAAGAAGACGATGTACAGCTACCGATGATTGCCAATGCCCAGTATAGTAGCGATGGAAACGCTCGTATGGTGCTCGGGATTTCACCCGGGTTGTATAAGGCCTGAACCTTTGATATCCGAGCTCTACATCTACAGTCATATATTTTGCTCACGAGCACTATAGGGCCTGTAAATCTGATGAAAACAATATTAGAAAACCAGCTCAAATGTCAAGGGCAGTCAGGGTGCAGGAACTGACCTGCATATTTGCAATCTCCGCTCAGTAGTATCCAGCATGGGGGATCCAGCTAACCAATCTTTTCGCATTCTCTGTACACTCCAATAATGAATGCCGAGTTCAGTGGTAGCAAGTTTCCAACTTCTGAAGCCTAGAGTCGTACTCGACCTTGTCCAATGTATGTAGTCTACAGGATATTTCGTTGCTATCAAATCAAGTAAAGAGCAATAAAGCCTCCCCCTTATACTGAGTCTCGGCTCATGTGAATGCTTCGACAGTATACAGAGTATTGGTAAGGAAGGAGGAGCTTAGAATGAGGACAGAGCAGCTTTTACGAGGCCGAGTTTAACAATTTCAGAAAAAGGTGAATACCTGAGGCCAAAGCATGGGATGGGCACCGGCCATTTGGAGCTCGGATGGAAGCAACGAAATGTAGGGGTACCATGGACTCTTTTCTCCCCTAGCTCGTTCGCATAGTAGATGCAAGCACATAGCTTGCCAAGGGCTCAGATGCGCTCTGTCGGCGATTGGGCCAACATCTGGACAAGTTGCTGCGGTCTGCATCAGTTCAAACCAACAAACAAACAAAGCAGCAAGGTGAGCTCAAGCATTCCACTGGTAGTTGGCTCTTCTTCATAATCTTCTGCTTCATGTCTTTTCCTTAAGTGAGGCCTCAAATTCAGAAGGCTTTAGATGCAGTTTTACTGCAATCAGAATGATTTTCCCGTCTTAGCCTGAATAACGTAGATTCGCACCGTGGCTCGGGGATCCTACTGGTAAATATTTGAGGTGGAGCGTAAACAACAAGAAAATTTGTTTCTTGCTGCTTCCTATTCTCAACGAAACGAGGATTCGCATTACGACTGCTTGACGTTGGCTGCTCAAAAAATAGGTGCTTATTAAGACAGAGTTAGAATCCTGAAGCCAAATTCTGTGATCAAAACTGTGTATGTATAGACGAAGAATACTCAATACGACGTTCTAACGATGGCCTGAGCCTAGCATATCCAAGGAAATCTAGTAGTTTACCACGGCACCCAACAGTTTTTTTTTTCCCCACACAGAGAGCTTGACAGGAAAATTCCATTATGGGGATCGAAAGAACCTGCTCGGTCATGAGCGCTTCTTTCGGCACGCGGACAATGACGTCATGTTTGTTGATTCCTCCGGGACCAGCCACCATTCCATATCCAGGAGCATCACTTCCACGGGGCCACCTTTCCAGGCGCAGATTGCAGTCGTGATGGCCATGTCTTCTGAGCCAATTCCCCAACCTCTCCACTTTCCTGTCATCTCTAGGGCTTCCATTCCTCTCAACCTTCTTCTCTGTATTACTTTTAGCCGGCGACCCTATTGGAGGTTTAAGTGATGCCGTAAGGAGCGCACTGGAACATTTCCCTAGCTGCATAATTCGCAAACCCCGATTGTCCGAAAAACTTCCACGGATGTTGCGGCCTGAACTCAGACACCATTAATTGAAGCCTTTCCATTCTCTAAACCCCGCGCACGGCCCCATGAATCTCCTCTCCTCATTCAGCTCAGCTTCGTCCTTCTCCGCTCGACGCCGGCTGCTACAATCCACGTGGGTTTTCATTGACCACCGTCATCATTCAGCAACCTCATCCCATAATCAAAGCACCTCGAAACACAAAATCCACAATATGCATACAGGAATTCCCAGCAGAACCAGGACCCCGCTTATCCCAGTTACTAGACTGCATGCACCCAGCCCGCCAAATTCATACAAAACCACCACAAACTCCATCATGGGAGAGAAAACAGAATCCAACGAACGTATGATCATGCAGCTTGTCCCCGAGTACAGAGCGAGGACCGAAGAGTGAGCTACAAGGAGATCGACCTTACCCCACGCGGGGAGGAATTTCCCCAGAGCCTTTGGTGAGTGTGAGGCTTAACGGTGCATGCTGCTGTTTCATCCACGTGCGTTCAGTTCAGTTCAGCCTGCTGAACGCTCTCTCGAGATTTTAGCAGCGATTCAGAGATTCCACTCTCCTCCCATGCTTCCCAGCCCTAAGGATGCATCCCAGTCACCAATCTGTTTGCAGATTTCTCTTGCACTTCCTAATCCAGCTCCCATCACCGACTCCTGATTTAGCTGTTCCGTGCAACAGTCAGCCAAAGACGGACTGTGGATGAGAGGTCATCCTCTTCCTGTGGAGCTTTGGCCTCTATCTGTGGGGACTACATGCACCTGTTGCTGCTCTTTTTTATATGGCACTCAGAGTTTGTGGGTCCACGTGTGGTACGGCATGAAAGGACGCTGCACATGAAACAGGGAGCCTGAGGATTTGCTTCATGCTCCTTCATCTCGCTTTGAGCCAAACACTCTTCTTCATTCCACGTAAACTAACGACCAGATTCAGACTGTGGCTGATCTGATTTCATTAGATGATGCGCTCGTCAAGCCTTCCTATTCTGCCTTCTCTTGCACACCTTCCTACGTTTGGATCGGCCACGATCGATCATCGAAGTTCACTGTTTTCGGTTCTATCGCTAGAGAATGATTCTTTAGTCGGCGAGTGTAATTTTCACTTTTAAAGTTAGAGTTGTGCGTGTCAAGATCCTTCTATGATCCAATTCTCTAATATATAGAAGATTACTCGTGACCTGATTCATTCAAGGAACGAAGTTTTAATCGTATCGCGGTACCTTATAAGATGTACCAGAGATTTTTCCCATGGTGATGATAGAGTGGCCTGCCTATCTTTCACCTTTGTTTTCATTCATGAAGGACTTGATTGGATATTATTATCCTCTATGTTACATCATTTGGCATCCCATTGAAAGGATGAGCAGGTTTTTAGTTAACTTAATATACTTCTCACCTTCGAAAAATAGTAACACGATAACTTTGAAAATCCTCTTGTGAAGTTGTGAACATAAAGAAATTGAACTAAATGCAACTTTTAAACATTTAGCAATTGCAAAAGTGACATTGATATAATGGAAAATAGATCAAGCCAGTGGTGTTGAGATTAACTTGAGTTAAGGAGTAACCTCAGTCATAGCTATTAATAGCTAGGACGGTCGTCTGGACTGGGAATAAATACCTCAGTGAGTGTACAAGACACTCTTTTTGACAAACCTAGAGTAGATGTGTTCGAGTACTGGTGTATGTAGCTCTCTTCCCCAAGGGTGAACCATGTTATTTTTGTGTTCTTCTAATTCTCATGTTTTATCATGACAAATGGTATCAGAGCAAAGTTTTCGGTTCGGATCTGTAGTCAGGAAATTTCAATTTGTTTCTGTCGGTAGTTTCTGTCAAGTTTCTGACGAGGTGAAACAAGGTGAAAGTGTTTTGGATAGCAACCGAGTGTTACGAAGAAGAACGTGGGGTTCGACACTTCGTGTTATTCGAGATCGGTCTAATGACAGCTGAAGAGAAAACAGAGGCTGCCTCTATCGACAACGATGACGAGAGCTGCTAACCTGTCAATCGCGAGATTTTGATAAGGAGTGTGAAAGTGTTATGTGGTTTGAATCGAAGGACGGAATTTCTTTCGATGACGGATTTCTACTGGTGTTTGTTGCTGTTCATAGAGAAAGATCAGAATATGAGTTCAACACCAAGGTTGAGGATGATGAAACTATTGAAGCTGAGAAGACCCGGAGCATCGAAGTGCTCAAAGTTATGCGTGTTGTAGCTATGACCACCTCTATGCTTATGAACACCTAGACCTCTCAGGTCGCGAAGCACCTACGCATACTCACGAGGCACAAAGGTTCACAAATATATTCTATTGCTCAAGAAATCATAAATGTCTGGAGAAAGGTTGTTGTGACGTAAGCAGTAGCTACGAATGATGGCGGCAAGAGTGAGCGACGGGAGTCACGGGTGACAAATATTGTAGTCGCGGGTGACAGACGATAAAGTTTTGGGTGACGGTTGTCACGGGCAACGGTGGTCACGGGCGACGGGAGTCGCGGTTGACAAATATTTTCGTCGCGAGCGACTAGAGTCGCAAGTGACGGACGGTACAGTTTCGGGTGACGGTGATTACGGGAGTCGTTGCTGACATATATTGTAGTCGCGAGCGACTGAAGTCGCGGGTGACGGACGGTACAGTTGCGAGTGACGGTTGTCACGGGCGACGGATGGTAAGTTGTGTATAACATTTTTTAGAAAGTTGCGGGCACAGTTAGTCACGGACGATGGTGATGGTCGGTCGCGGGTGCAGTTCGTCGTGGGCGCAGTTAGCCGTGAGTGACAATGAGAGATATTCACAAGTTACAGTCAGTCGCAAGTAACGTAAAATGTAAGGTCATGTCAGTGAGTATGTGTCTTTCAAAGAGCCTTGCTCCTTGAAAGAGGGGGAGATTTATCATGATCTTTGTACTTACAAGTAAAAATTTTAGTATGTAGTTGTGGGAAAATTTTGATCATTATGTGATTAATGATCGAGATGATCACCAATATCTAGTCATGGGGAAGTTTGATCATTATGTGATTAATGATCAAGATGTGCACGGTACAAATTAATTAGAGTACCGTGAAACACAACGATATCAGGTATTTTATGAGACAAGAGTGTCTGATAAAATGATTGAGTTTGTCAAGATGTATGGTAGACTTTGGTGATTGAACTAGTTAATCTGGACGGTAAACTCTGATGATTGAGCTAGTCAAGATTGACGATAGACTCTGGTAATTGAGCTAGTCCATCTTGACAATAAACTTTAATGATTGAGCTAGTCAATCTTGACGATAAACTCTGATGATTGAGCTAGTCAAGATAGACGGTAATCTAGTTCATGCGTTGGTTTAAGTTATTTCTCTAGAGAGTTTCAGACGACACTATGTTATCATGCAGGTTGTGCATGGAAAGCGCAGGTAAAGTTTGCTAACATAGTATCTTCAGTTATCTCTTTATATATTTACTCTATCCTTTGATGGCTACGGCTTAGTTCTAGTTAACTCTTGTGTAAAGAGGGGCTTTGTATTAGGTTTCTTTCTAGAACTTCGCGCTGAGTAATTATATAGGTTACGAGATTTATGTTCTCTCTATGCTAGCTGGTTTTTTGTTACATCTTTATGTTATTACTCTATCCGGTTACTGCTACGGCTTAGTTCTTATAGAGGTTACTGTTCCTTAACGTGAGTTAAGGTGGAGATTGTTGAGGTTAACTTCAGTTAAGGAGTAACCTCTGGTCATAGCTATTAATAGCTAGAACGATCGTCTGGACTAGAAATAAATACCTCAGAGTTCACAGTGTTCAAAAAACAGTCTTTTTGACAAACCTACAGTAAAGGTGTTCGAGTTCTGGTGGATGTAGCCCTCTTCCCCGAGGGTGAACCAAGTTATTTTTGTGTTCTTGTAATTCTCATGTTTTACCGTGACAAGTGGATCTCGAAGGGACAAAAGGCTACAAAGCACAAAACAAATCATCCATTCACCACCAAATAGAAAATACTAAAAAACCATTCTAAATAGTGGCTAGAGCACTATACCGATGATTTAAAACATCCCTAAAGTCATAATTTTCTAGCTGTTGTAAAGAAATTTTTTACAATTTGATGAAAAACTCTAATCTTCATATATCTAGTGCATGTAACAAAACATTCTCTTTATATTTAATACTTCTTCCTTCTTTTCTATCAATATTATACCAAAGTCTTTTCCTTAGTCTCTAGCCTATGAGACCCATTCTATGCCATGCAATAATATGATGTAAAAATGCAGAGATCCCTGCAGATAGGTACACTTTTCACAATAAACAAGTAATTTTTTCACAATAAACAAGCATAGGATAAACATGATTCCATAAAACTTCATTTTGGTAACAGAACTATTTCAAACAATGTTGAAAATTTGCTCCTATAGATGCTAGCAAAGTTCCAAGTAAGTTCCAACTTGCAAGTTCCAAACCCGTTCCGCCACATACCACTTTGAGTACCAAGCCATCACATGAAAAAACCACCCTTAGGAGTGTGTGTCTCGCAAAGCTTGGTGAGGAAGGCAAAAGGCACCAAGAAATCTCACCCGTGCTATGCAAATGATGGTCAATTAAAGAGCTTTAGCTTGAAGAAAAAGACAACTGATTTCTGCAAGGAGAATGGCGAAGGTAGTTTGGCTTCTCATCCCCAATTCTTCTTGTAGAAATATCTTCTAAACCCTCTCCAAGCACTTTCAACCTATCTTTTTACAACCAAGCTCCACACTTGGATCCCATATAAAACCACAAGCAACACATAATTGTAAAAAAATAATTTTCTCATATTCTAAGACACAAGATGAGTTCTTCTATGTAGTCTTAACAATGAATACAGAGCTTTGTAACCAACTTCTATTCTATTTTGCATGCAATGTGTCCAATTATAATCATGAGAAAATTTGATGACTAAGTGTTTGTAAACTTTTACTTGTTCCAACTCTAGTTCTTTGTATCATAAAGCTAGTGATGAAAGTAACAATACCTCTATGGAAACAACATGTGGAAAGCCACATGTTGTAAACTCTTGTTCCTTGTCAACCCACCAAGATAAATTCTTGTAGCTCAGCAATAGTATTAATCTCATGTTTCCAAGTCTTCACAATGTTCATAATGTCCATCATCTCCCAAATTGAAACAGCACTTACATACTTTATTTTAAAAAATACTCAAATATTCAACACCAACATCCTTAGCTTTGGATTGCTATGAAGATAACTTTCTTTTTTTCTAAATAACAATTGCTCTATCATTGCGTAAATAAGCAATAATTTTTGAATCTTAAGACTCTTTTGACATTTGCTAGCTACTTTCTTCTAGCTTCCACTTGTAATGAAGTAAGATCAGAATGCAACCATACTCTTAGACCTTTGAGAAAAGTATTGTTAGTCATGACCGTATCACGTTGAGTTTAGTCAACAAACTCAATAAAAATGGCACGAGGTTGTGTTTTAATTTTTCCAATACATTAAAAACTAAGCTAACTTTATATTATGATCATGAAATGTGTCAATCAAAAACTAGATGACAATATTTTTCACATCTTCATTGTCTTTTTCTTCTAAATCAAATCAACGAAATGATATTGAATACAATAAGAAGCTAAGCGGTTTGTATCTTGATTTCTTGCCAAAGCTTATTCCATTCATTCAAAATCTCTTTTCTAAGTTTGAAAGTTTTGTATTGAGATACCATTGTATATCCAATTTCAAAACTTCAAAGTTATAGCTTTGTTTTGCCTTTTTAGCTGCA